TACCTCGGGTTAAGTACTTAATTCGTTCCGGAGGGCCGTTCTTAAGCTGAAACTGTTCATAACCTGAAGCACCACTTTAGCTAATGGGGCCTCCTGCTGCCGCCACACCGCCAGAGCACAATTTCTGTTCTTATCCTGAAGCAAAGTTCTTAACCCGAGGTAATATTTCTGGGTTAGCAGAGTCTGTAACCTGAAGCGTATGTAACCCGAGGTACCACTGTAGAGGCAAGAATAGCAGTGAACAGTTTTTGATCCTGATCAAGTAAATCTATGATTCTATAGAATCACTATGTTCCTAGAATTCTTCCATATGTCTGAAATAGGGCCTGCTTCCTCAGTGTCATTAAAGTAATCTCTAAATATGGCACTAGGATCTCTCTGAACTGTTGCATTTTACTAATAGCACTATTCCTACTTTCGGGGTCTATCTGTTTTACAGCGAATCTCTTGACTTTCTCCCCGCTGCCATTGAGCCTTGGGGCTTTTTTATATATATACTGGATGAGCAATCCCTAGATTTTCCAGAGGCTACATTCTGCCTCTTAGATGCTCTCTTGTCAATGCATAAAACGCTTTGCACATATTATCCTCAGTCGTATCTCTGGATTGATCAGTGGCTGCTGGTTGAACCAAAGAATCATCCCAGTGAATAAGATCCTAGGGCCTAAATTCTAAACAATTTTTTGAATATGTATGCTTTAAAATGATGTTTAAAAATAACTGCATGGAATCACCCCAACTTTATGGAGGAACCCCTCTTCCTTTAATATAGGGGAAAGTAGCTTGGGCTGACTAAAGGTTAACAAAAACGTAGTTCAAAGTCAGTGGGAGTTTTACAGCTGAAATTAAATTAATGGGTCCAACTGGCTTGTGCAATGGTAAACTTAAATCGTTTTGCAAAAAATATTGAACCCCAAAATGGAATTGTCCCATTTAGTGGTGGAACACATTGCCACTTGGTTTGTCTGGGAAACAAAGTTACAAGACTTAAACTAGTTTTACCTATTTATAAAATAGTTATGGATGCAATTGCTCTTATCCTTTCTGACTTGAACGCCAATTTCTGCATTGTCCTGTTTTGATGAATAACTTTGAGTTTGTGACACCTGAGGAAGTGGAAAAGATCCTTACAAGAGAAGGAGAAATCTCCATAGGTTTGAAGGAGCAGTGATGAAACCCTCATTTGATTTCACATTTTAACAATTTTAGACAAAGGCTGCAGCTTGTGTACAACATTGAGTGAGTGGATGCCCCTTCCTCTCTTCCCCGCTTGGACAGGGAAGCCCATTCTGTTTCACTGCCTGAGGTGAAACAGGAATGTGCCACTCCCCACTCACACCCCAACCCTCCTCTTCCGCTGTCCCCCCTTCACCTTGCTGCTTGTCATCTCCAGCAGCTTTTGAAATCATCAACCAGGCTTCCACATTTTCACTCGCACTGTAGCATACAGTTGAATAATTTGTGGTGATTTTAAGCATAAATGGTACATTTTGGCTAGCTGCTCCTAGTCAATACTTCATCAGCATACAACAGAAGTACACTAGAGGAATGGTTAGCATCATTTTTAAAATAAGATTGCATTCAAACTATGCAGAAGCTACCATACCATTGGTGTTAGAACTTCCCATATTAAACAGTCGGACATGTTTTTGGCTAGTTGAAGCCCATTCTGAATTACTTCCTCCTATGTGGTGGTGATATGATACGCACTGGGGAAGCTAGCATCTGTTACCAGCTTAGAGTTAGCAGAACTCTAATTGTGTAGCAGTTGAGTTACTGTTCTGCTGCTTTCCAGATGGCAAGAAAGAAGCTTAGCAAAAAGCCCTATCCCTGTTTGTGTACTCTGACAGAAACATAGATAATGCCAACAAATATATATTGCAGTTACATGGTGATTTACCTATTTACACCTTTTTGGCCAAATTACATTGTGAAAATTAAGGTGCGCATCAGATTCGATAGCACTTTTACCTTTGCTAATAAATAGATTTTTTGGTTTCAAGGTTCTGAAAATTGAGGTGCTCATCAGATTCAATGGTACATTAGACTCTAGTAAATACGGTACTTGATTTTTTTTTATCATGTTTTATAGATTGTAGGTTTTTAACTGGGATAGAGATACTTCTCATCTTGAAACCTTGTTTTAACTGTATTTGTACTATTTTATGTGAATGCATTGGGCAGCAGACTGATGGAGCACAAACCTTTAATTGCCTGATATTTGCTGTAAATACAGTAGCAAATATCAATGTATTTTTCTGCTAATGCTGATAATAACTTGTAATTGACATAATTGATGTATCTGCACATATATTTTCAGAATATATGAGCACAGCAACCTAGTAATCGTTTGGATTCGTTGTTTTCCAGCCATGAAGTTGTGGAAGGATCTGTTCATTCTCTCATCTTACATACTTTATGTTTGGCCTAACTTCTGGGTTCAATACCGTCTCACTTTCCTAACCTAAACTAATTGATGACAACTTGCTGGCTATATAAATCATTGTGGAAATGAATCTCTAACTGTTAACAATGATAAGTTAAAGTTTATGGTATTTTCAAAAAGGAAGGCCAAATATTATTGGACTGTGGATGGGCAGAGGATAGGACAAGTCGATTCTTAGACGTATCTCAGGATCTGGCTTCATGCCTGTTATCTGTAATGTACAGGGTAAATTAGCAAAGATCAAAGCAGAGTCTGCATTAAAAACATTCTTCAATTTTCTACACAAATAGAAGTAAATTTGTTCCAGCTGCTATACGAGTGCGCACTGTAAAAATTGTGACCCAGATTTTGTTTGGAGCCACAGTATTGTTTCCAGAACTTGAATTTTCTCTTGGAAATTTGAAGAATATTAAGGTTCCATCAGGGGCAGAGGGTGGTATGAGATGTTTTCTCTCTCTCTTATTTGATGTCATTGTAATTAGTATGAGCCAAATCTGACAAAAGAAAGAATGAAAATATAGATGTGCAAAAGCTGGTTGCATTGGCTAATGGACCATGTACTCCACAGTTGTTGAGTCTTAGATGATCTTGTTCTAATAATTGAATGGCATATTTTAAATTTTCTGACAATGACCAAGTGCAGAAGAGATATTTTATTGGCCCATTTTCAAGGCTTTAGATAGCAGATTTCCTAGAGTTCCCTTAAAGATAGATCTTGCCTGTATAACCACTCAGAGGTTGAAAGAGTGTCTAGTCATGTTTTGCTGTTGTTTTTATCAGATAACGCATAATTATGAGGTGATTTCCTGGTCAATTGTTCTGACTATATTCCATGATTACCAAGCAAGTGGCAAAAATATCTGAATGTTGTCATATCATGCCTCTTAGTTCTGCTATGATCGTTCATTCTTCGCTTGTCATTTTTTAAAACAATTGGCTTCATTGAGGCTGTGTTTTTGTATTTTTAGATTCTGTCTTACTGGTTGGTGGATCATAATAAGCATCTGATTGACTAAATATAAGACCAATAACGAGTATCCTATAACAAGAAAACTTCATGCAGAGGGAACACTGAATAGTTTTGGAACCATTGATTATAGTATAATTAAGTCTAATAAAATTAAGACATTTCTGAAATACCTCTATTGTTCATCAGCCCAGCTGTTGTAACTGCTATCTTGAAGCAAGTGCATCTCTTGTTATGTAGGTCACATCATGTGTAGCTAGCAGCTGAGCAGTTGTGGGAAAAGAAGGGGGGCTGAGTGACAATGAAAATACTACACAATTTGCTGAAGTGCAGACAGTATTTTAATGAAATATTCTGACATAGCCAGAGCTAGATGAGAAAAATACATTGGATGGATTCAGGAAAAAATAATATAGTGAGAATATATATTTAAATTTTACTCTCCTGTTAATGGGGATGAACTATATATGCAAACCTTGTTCAGTTAACCATAGAATATGTTTTTATTGGGCTGATGCTGAAATATATACACGCATTTATCTGCAAATGGGAGGATTGGTCGTACGATGCTCAATTACTTTATTCAGTATAGTGCACTATACTACATGGCGATGTATAATGCATTTTAAGTAAAACAGCTCGGTGTGTAATGCATTAAGCAAACTAGCTTCTAGGCTAATAAAATAATGGTAAACTTTGTGCCCTTGCCAGAGTTGTTGTGTGGGCATGCGCACTATGTTTTGTGTATTTTTTGTTTTTCAACATCTGCTCCCTGCGCATAATAAACTATTCATGAATTTCTGGGAAGTTTTAGAAGAAATTGGATGAAAAGAAAAAGTCACGTTGTGTGCCTGAGTGAGTTCTCTGAATAATAATGACTTTTAATTGTGTGTATGGATTGGAGTGTAGTTGATGGCTATACTGTAGTGGATTATATTTTTTATTCAGGAAACGGTAGCTCTGCTATTGTTGCAATTCTAGTGATTGCTTTCCCAGATAACTGATTCAGTATGTGTTTGTGATTTTTAAGTTGTAAAATCCACTTTTCAAAAGTTTTACTAACGTTGAGGAAAGCAAAAAAGCAATATATTGGGGGGATATGGAGTACTACTACTCTGGGTTTGAGGCTTTTTTGGTTTTATTATGCAACAGGGAATTAGAAGCACAATTCCTAGTATTAAATAATAAGTTAATGGAGTGTAATTTATCTTAAAAAATGTAAATGGGGTGACCAGCTAGAAGGCAGATAGTGTATTTAACCCTAGGACTGCCAATCAGTCAAACTGTAGTATATAATAGCACAGAGGGAAAGTTTGTCAGCCTATTCAGTCACAGTTTAATACAGCTGTGCATTTAAAAAGTCTTCAAGGCCTAAACTTTAAATATTCATTGTTGGCAGCTGAGTTCTATGTTAGTCAGGAGTATATACATTTTTTTAAAAACAACCTATACATAACAGCTTCATAAATAAGACGTTTACCAGTTGTATACAGTCCAAATGCATGATACGCAGAATGAAAATCTGTGTAACAGTAGGCTTTATTTCCTCTCAGAGTCATATTTTTTTTCTTTTTCTTCTTATTTTAGTTGATAAACCACGGCCACCTTCATCAAGCCCTTCCAGTATTGCTCGACGTACCCCTTCACTAGACCTCCTTGCTGCTCCATATCTTGCTGGACAATGGCCTCGTGAGAATCACGGTCAAGCTGCACCGTGCATGAGGGACAAAGCCACACAGGTAAGAGTTCGTATATACTAGGGAAAAACACTTGCCAGGCAGGGGTAAGGAATGTCAGCACCACTCCTGTCTGCTGTGGTGGCTTCACAGAAGTTCAGCAGGGGACATTTTCTACTGAATTCATATGCTTTAAGATTTGAAAGCATTCTTCTTTGTTCATAACATTTGTTAAAATTTCATCACCGTTGTGGCAGTTGTTGACATGTGTAACAGAGGCTCTTGACAGTTCAAGACATAATTAATATTGTCAGCAGGCTTTATTTTAGTTTAATATTTAAGAAAGGTGATAGATGGCCCCCAAATAATAGCCCAATGTGTGTTTTCTTTATGTTCCTGCAAAAATGTGCATGCATCTTCTTCTAAATAATTTAGAACAATGGACCAAGGAGAGCCAGGTAGTGTCCCCAATCTAGACTGGATTTTGCAAGGGACATTGCACAATTGATTAATGTTCTGTTTTGAATTATTTTTTTCAAAAGTATTTTGGCAAACCAACAGAAAAGTTGGAAGTTGGACTTGTTGATCTCTCATCTGAGTTGAATATGAGTGATAAGAGTCTAGGGAATTATTATTATTATTATTATTATTATTATTATTATTATTATTATTATTATTATAAAAAACCAACCCAAAGTATGTCCTCAGAAACAGCTACTGGGCCATTTCACAGGGGGAGTGCAAAAGGAGCAAATAACATTGCCTATATCTAAATTATATAAATAATAAACACCGTTCATTATTTATGTGATAATTTACAGTTCCTCTTATTACAAACTATAAAAGGTATAAAAATAAGACATTAGAAAGCTCAAAGCTGCAAGAAATTCACAACAGCAAATGATAGCTTCCTCCTCCTGGAGCCCTACAGTCGTTTGACAGCTAGTTTCGGGATCTTTAGCCCAGGTGGTGCTGAGTGCCATATAGCAACTGGTGTTTGGAAGACCCTTTTAACAGCTATTTTTAATTATTCTCAATGCTTCTTTCATCCTATTCTGATTTGCCTCCTTTGGGAAAGACTGTAAGTTAATTCACGGGACAAATGGCTGCTGTTTCTTATACCACAGCTATACTGTAATAGTGATGTAAAACACAATATATATTTTACAATCTGGCCTTGGGGATTCTCCTTCAGATTGAATATTTTGGCCCTGCTATTTAATCTTTGCATCAAGAATGTACAGTTGCATTGCTTGGTTCTAAGGGCCACACATATATGCAAAAATTGTATACAGTCAGAATTGATGTTTTTCTTGGTGGAGAAAGCCCTGCAGGGAGGCGTCCCCTGTTTCTACTACCTCCCTTCCACAATTGAAGGAAGGAGAGAGACCAATGTGAAGGGAGGAGCAGAGATAGACATAGGCAGAAGGAAAGGCCTTGGGATGGTTTGTTTGGTTGGGGGGGGGTCTATAGAAACTCTACCTTATTAATATTAATTAAGCTAAATTACTCACACAATCACCCATTTCTTTTTTGGCTTCAGATAAATGGACGGATAGTTTACATAGAGCTGAGTTCGTGTTTAGATAGTGATGCCATGTGAGTTCTTAGAACTTCAGTTGTAAATTTCCAAAGGTGTTTCGGTTTTTCTCTCTTGGTTGCTGAAGCCTTAAAATGGTGGTTGCCCTGCCGTGCTTCCAATAGGAGAGAATTTATTTCCTTGTTGAATCATTGTTTGAAAGTTAGACTCGCTGTTTCTTTCGTTCTTCTCTGTGCTGGTACGTGTACAAATATCTTTAATTCTCAAAGGGTTGGCCTTGGGAGAGGTTTGGAGGAGTAGATTGCTTTGCTATTCCTACTTCTTTAGGCCTAGGACTCCTGGTGTGTGATGTTGGCACCAAAATGTATTGTTTTCTTCCCAAGCTGTCTGTTGCTAAAGCCTGGGATGGTGAACTGTGAGTAAGGTGCAACTCAACTGTAGTTCAGGAGCGCTCCCTGCCATCCACTCCCTCCCTTAACTGGCAATCAAAAAATTCCAGTACTGCTTTCTTTATGAAGATGAGATGGTTTTTATTTCATCATCACTAGGTCCCTGGATGGTCACAACAGTGCCAGTCATTTAAGAACCCAGGTTCACTACTTTGCCCTCCTGCTAAGTGACATTGACTCCATTGACAGGAAGCTCGTGTTGTGGCTCTATCCCACCAGGCAAGCTGCTCCTGCAGTGTTGTAACAGTTGGATATTGAGTTGTTCAATTTCCCCTGAAGCATCAGCTCATAACATTTCTGACTGTAAGAACCATAATGCAATTTTTGCTGAATATGCTAAAAATGTACGTTCAGTGTATTAATTCTGTGTCCTCAATTTGGTACATTAAAATTAAATCTGACCATAAAAGGTTTGCTTATCTGTGGGAATTAATTTTTTTGTTAGCTACACATGCATTTACTCAGCTTAGATTTCAGACTTTGCCCACCAGATATCTGACAGGCAAATTTTTTAATAGGCCAGTAAATGACTGTATTTGTATATGTGGATCAGACCAAATCAAAGGCATTATACAATGTATTCTGTATTGCCCTTTATATCTCATTTAGGAATAGATTCTTCTATTCGCTTCAGAATGAATTAGGGAACGAAACTTTTTTTAAGGTCTGGCATGTTGTATTTCTGAAAATTATTTTGATCCAATCTGTTTCTAGTCAGCCTCTAATTTAAAATTTTTAGAATCTTTTTTCCCCCCTTTGTCCTTGTCTTAGACTGAAAGTGCTTGGGCTGAAGAATACTTGGAAAAGAAGAAAGGCTCTCATAAGCGATCGGCATCTTGGGGCAGCACAGATCAACTGAAAGAGGTTGAGAAACATGTTTAGCTGTATTCAAGTCAACACACACAATAGCTGCAAATGATTGTACAGTACATTCCTTACACAACATGAGAGATATATGATCTCTCAACATTGTGAGTGGGGAACCTCAGGTTCCTGGAGGCCAGATGCTGCCTTTTGAACTACTCTATATGACCCTTAGAACTTTCTCCAGATCATACCCCTCTGCCTTCTTTTGCCTCTGGCCACCACTGGCCTGTAGTCCCTGGAAGGTTGCCCTCAGGAAAATGCAGCCTGCAGGGTGACAGAGATTCCCCATTCCTATGCTGTACAGTTGATACCTCAGGTTACAGACTCCACTAACCCGGAAGTAGTACCTCGGGTTAAGAACTTTACTTCAGAATGAATATAGAAATCGCACGGCGGCAGCAGGAGGTCCCATTAGCTAAAGTGGTACCTCAGGTTAAGAACGGTTTCAGGATAAGAACGGACCTCCGGAACGAATTACGTTCTTAACCAGAGGTACCACTGTACTAGCAAGAGGAGCAATAAAACATGAGGTGCAGTTCTAAATGTTAACAAAGCCACCCATCTGACTGCTCAGAAGGTCAAGTTCTAGCACGTGGAATTGCTGTAGAAACATGTAATAGAGAAGAAGACATCATAGTTAGAGACAGGCATGGTAAGAAGATGGCTAAGTGTCAGTTTCATCAGATTGATAACCATGGAGAACATACAGCCAAATTATTTTTTTATGTCAACTTTTACTTCTCTCTTTTTTAAAAAAAACTGCTGGTGTTTGAAATATGATATGAATATTGAATGCCTGCCCTCACAGGGAGAAATACCCCATGGGTCTACTTCCTACCAACCAACCAACCAACCAATCTGTGCAACCAAGTGGTACAGATGCAACTCAGTTATAGGCAGAGGGAATTTCTCTCAGCCCTTCCCTCTGCCCCAGCCACTACAGCTTGTCTTGGCATAGCTCTTTCTCATGCTTCTTGCTCATGGTTGAGGTCAGGTGGTGGCGGTGCCCACCTGCCATGATATCAGTGAAAACAAAGGCTGAATGGCAGGTGTCCAACGAGCCTTCTCCCCCATGTGGAATGGAAATGCCAATGTTTCCATCAACGTGCATTCAGTTTTCACTGCGTGATGGAGTTCCCACTTGGTGAGGCGCACATCTTTCCATCCTGCTTTTTTAATGAGCTACACAGGCAGATTGGAGACAACTTCATTCTGCTTCCACTCCAAGCCATGTAGGAGGCAAGAAAAAAGCCTGTAAATGATCGTGTTGGTACATAGGCATCCCTATTCTTGCTGTGGTCAACATGTCTCTGAGGGGAGGGAGAATGCACATGTTACTGTTAGTAGTATTGTGCACTGTTCCTAAGTGGTTACTGTGGTAGTAACAGTACTTACTGTACATTTTGACATAATTGTTCAGACTTTTCGTTATAAATCTTACAGGGAAACTTAAAATGTTTGTCCTTTCAGATAGCCAAGCTACGCCAGCAGCTGCAAAGAAGTAAACACAGCAGCAGGCATCATCGGGACAAAGAAAGACAATCTCCATTCCATGGAAATCATGCAGCCATTAACCAATGCCAGGTACGATCACAATTGTTAATGTAAAATTTGGAAAGCGTTCGTCCCGGGATGTTTGCTGTATTTTAGGTGCTGTGTCACACACAGAAACTCCCACCAAAAGTCTGGAAGCTGTCAGCACTCGAGGCAGAAAAATAATAATGACAAAATAAGTGGCATGCAGCTCTATTGGCGAGCAAATGTTTGCTTTAGATTTGAATTCCTTGCAGAACTTGAAGATCAGCATGTATACAATATCAGAGGTAATGGGTGGAAGAAAAAGACTAGGTTTGGGGGAGTGGTTGCTATGCAAATTATGAGCCCTAACACCCAAATCTGTTTTTGGTTCTGAGCCTCCAGCAGGCACAGTGTGGATAAAGTTACACACTCGAATGAAAGAAACATAAGTTGAAATTCTCAAGCCAAACACTATGCCCCAGGCACATTGCAGGTGGCATGTACAAATGATGCGCAATTTCCACTGCTCGGGTCTTTTTGGACCTGGAGGAAGGAAGACTGGGGGCAGGGTGGAGCATAACAGGGCAGCATGTGCTTATGCGCACTTTTCCTGACACACGCAGGGGCCGGGAACGGAACCGCTGCGCAAAATGCTTGTCACCTGTACATGTTAAAATCTAAGGTATGCTCATAGTCTAGAAAAACAAATGCACTCACTGCAGTTTATTATAGCATATTTTGTATTCGTCATCAATAGAAGATTCAAATCACAAGTGCTAAGCTATTCTGGTAGAGGAAGGAATGAAGTGAAATTTTTGAGGTGATGGGATAGAGGGATATCATTCATGGCTGGGCTCTCATGGTCCGTTTCAACACCTTACCAAAAAGATGAGGCATAAGTCAATTGGAAGGGAGTTCCGTAATTGTGCAGTCACCCCTGTGAAGTCTTTTTCCAGTGTACATACCAGCTTAACCAATCTTATTAGAAAGCACACTAGGAGGACATATGAAGCAGATCCTGATGTATGGGGAAGATTCTATGTATGAAGGCCATTTCTCCGATAACCTCGTACCAAGCCATTTCAGGGCTTAACTTCGTCGTATTAATAGAATGTGAGCTGAGAGCTAAAGTTTCATTCGTTGTCCTATATTAAACTATAGAAATGTAGCATTTTTTAATTACTGTTTTTGGGGTTTCTCTAGCCACCTGTCCCAAAGAGTGTGCTAGTTCCTGTGATACCAATTGCCAAGTCGACAGGCTCGCGCTTCCGTAACAGCATAGAGGGGCTGAACCAGGAGATCGAAATAATTATAAAGGAGACAGGAGAGAAAGAGGAACAACTTATTGTGAGTATACTGTTGCAATCAAATAGGTTTTAATTGCGGTCTTATGCTAGTATGTGAATTAGACCTAGTTAATCTTCAAATATGAAAGATATGAAATTCTTTTTAGACATAATTTTCCTGGTTCCATGGTTTAGAAAATCAGAAATCAACATCAGGCTCATGCCTTCATCTGTTGCCCCCCCCTTTTTTTTTCACACCAGCTTTTTTGCACTGATTTTGGTTGAATTAATTCACAGGTTCCTCATGTCTGAAACAGGACACCGTGGTCTAATGTTAGTTTCTTAACTATAATCTTCAATCAGGATCAGACCATGGTTTCAGAACCTGGGGTTGTATTCAATGTAGTGCTATGTAAACTCCCATTTCCACATTGGGACTCCGCCTCTCCCAGATTTGTTTGGTGGGTTCCTCCAACCCTCCAGAGCAGATTGGGGGCCAGCAATTGGGGGCCAGCAATTGGGAAGGGGTGGAGCATAAATATTTCTACTTTCACAAAGTTTAGTTGATTACCAACCTTGGTTAATAAATTGGCATTAAACCACCATTTCCTATTTCGGATGTAATGAGACTGCAATTTAAGCACCAAAGATGGCATGCAGGGGAAAGGCGAGGAGGGAGTATGCGAGTTGGACACTTGTTGCTGGCTTAATAGACTCTGGTTGAAGGGTGGGGAACCTGATTTCCCGAGGACTGAATATGGTGCTTTGGCCTCTCTGTCTCTGGCCCTTGGAGCTCTCTCCAGACACCCCTTCACAACTACAGTGGTACCTTGGGTTACATACGCTTCAGGTTACATACGCTTCAGGTTACACACTCCGCTAACCCATAAATAGTGCTTCAGGTTAAGAACTTTGCTTCAGGATAAGAACAGAAATCGTGCTCCGGTGGCGCGGCGGCAGCAGGAGGCCCCATTAGCTAAAGTGGTGCTTCAGGTTAAGAACAGTTTCAGGTTAAGAGCGGACCTCCGGAACGAATTAAGTACGTAACCAGAGGTACCACTATATTTTGTGCTTTTATCGTATACTTTTATATATAGGATATCTTTAGGTGAGAGGCGGTATATAAATTAAATACTTCACAGAGGTGAAATTTGCATTCGTTGCTCTGCCCGCTTTTGCCTCTGATCCTCAGAAGGTTCCTCAGACGGGAACGCTGACCTCAGGCTGAGACACGTTCCCCACTCTTGCTTTAGATTATTAAGCCAGGAGTGTTACTTCCAGACCTTCCTACTGTTTCTGAATAACCAAGTAATTGTGCATTCAACACTTCCAAGATGAAATACACATGTGTGAGAGTTTCTGGAGTCAATGAATGTCATTGGGAAAGGAAAAGGAAACCAGACATTAAGAAGGGGGTCATTCATGAAGTACCCTGCTTCAGTCAATTTGGTTGCTTTTTGTACAAGATCATCCCTTTAAATCCTCTTAAGTAGATATATATTTTCCCCTTGCTCAGAATCCTTTACTAGACCTCAAATCTCCTTAAATTTGACTTCCATCTCTCTCTCTTTCTCTTTCTCTTTCTTTCTGTTGGAGTCTGAAGAATAACTAATCTTCTACTAAAGAGCTTTATTGATACAAAAGACTAAAGTAGTCTATTAACATGTAAAGTAATTTCTTATCCAGACAAGATTAGTGGTCTGCTGCATGGCAGGAAGTTTATACATACGTTTTTTTCTTCACAGCCGCAAGATATTCCAGATGGGCACCGAGCCCCTCCACCTTTGGTGCAGCGCAGTAGCAGTACCCGCAGCATTGACACGCAGACTCCGGGCGGGGCAGAGAAGGGCAGCAACAACAGCAGCAGATCTCAGTCTGTGTCCCCAAGCTCCTTCCTGGTCATTTCCAATGAGGGCAGTGAGGAGAGCCCATGCTCTGCTGATGACCTACTTGCAGACCCCAGAGATAAAGGTACCTGCTGAGAAGTGCTCATAAAAGCATATTACAAATTCCAGGCCTAGGCATCTGCTGAAGTGTGATGGGAAATCGGGAACTGAGCAGAAAGATCAAATAGTGTATTGTGGACTTTTGAGGGAATATTTACTGATATTTCTCATGGCACCGTTGGGGGATATTGATGGGTACACTGGTATGTCTGGGGGCCACGTTGGAGGCCCTGGTTTTAGGAAATACCAATAAGAGTGTGGGAGGAACAAGGGTAAGTGTACTGGTATGTTTTAAGGAACTAAACCTCTGTTCATTTCAGAGAATGGAAACAATTCTCCTCTGCCCAAATACGCCACCTCGCCCAAACCCAACAACAGCTATATGTTCAAGCGTGAACCTCCAGAGGGCTGTGAGAAGGTGAAAGTCTTTGAGGAAAGCTTGTAAGTAGGACTGTACTTCATAGTTACAAAGTCTTAACCTTTCAGAAATATCTAAACTTTTGTTTTGCAATGCAGCTTTAGTGGCTAATCTCTGTATAGACTCTTCCTAAGGTTATTCCTTCAGCTCCATCGTTTTGTCTGTTCATAATTCAGTAATCATTTAAAACTGTTGCAGTTGTCGTTGTCCCCCTTCCACTTTTTAGGGAATGCTTAGGTAACAGAGATCAGACCCAAAGCTGCTTCATCAATGAGAACTATGATATATTGCTAACCTACCATGGCAACTGGCAGAAGGCAAATACTATTCTTTGGTCAGTGATTAGGGACTGAAAACGTACCATGCCACACAAATTGAGCTTTTTACTAGTGATCAGACTTGGTGATAAAGGGGTTTATGCTGTCTAGCAGCAAGGGATCTAATAGAGCTGGAGAATGGCCACATAGCTTTGGCACAAAGCCCAAAAAGAGAAACTCTTACAACTGTAGAATATCTAGTTTTCTTAAAACATGAAAAACACTTTCCTTGCCTGCAGTTTTGCTTTAAGGAAAACTTAAAAGGTAAAGGGACCCCTGACCATTAGGTCCAGTCGTGACTGACTGTGGGGTTGCGGCGCTCATCTCGCTTTATTGGCCAAGGGAGCCGGCATACAGCTTCTGGGTCATGTGGCCACCATGACTAAGCCGCTTCTGGCGAACCAGAGCAGCGCACGGAAACGCCGTTTACCTTCCCGTTCGAGCGGTACCTATTTATCCACTTGCACTTTGATGTGCTTTCGAACTGCTAGGTTGGTAGGAGCAGGGACCGAGCAACAGGAGCTCACCCTGTCGTGGGGATTCGAACCGCCAACCTTCTGATCGGCAAGCCCTAGGCTCTGTGATTTAACCCACAGCGCCACCCGCGTCCCATAAGGAAAACTTACCACAGGTTAATTTTCAAAATTACCCAGCCTTGAACTTTGGAGACACTCAACACCTTCAGAGCTCAGCACAACTGTGGGACATGGCCCCATCCCTTCTCAGTTGCAATCTGGATAGAGAAGTGAAGGCTTGGTCCCTGCCATGCTAGCTTTCAGGGAACTTAGAACACCCTCAGTCTAAGGCACGGCTGAGGACTTCTCTCAAACTCTAAGCTGCAGTGTGTCATGGTTGCACTAACTTTGGAGATGCTCTGAAAGCAGTGAAACTGTCAGACCCAACTTCATATCAGGGAGAACCCCATCTTCTCCAGAGCCTGTAGAAGAGCAGAATCTCATGAGCTTGTTTTGATTTGGAAACACTTGAAAAACCATGAAGTGTCACTCTACTTTCTGAGTCTGTCAGGAAGTGCAAGACAAGGGAGACTCCCCAATTCTTTTAAGCTTTGGGAAAGGTGGTGGCTTTTGCCAGCTTTGAGTTCAGTTGTGGACTGCCTTATTTAGGATTAGGATGACAATGACCATTGCGATTCAGTAGATCATGGTTACTTTCAGAGAAGCCTCAAAAGTGGACAGATCTTAGTCCTTGAGCCGTTTCCAGTAGTGACCCAGACCTCTCAAAATCATCTGCCTTTTCCTCTTGCTCCTTCTGCGCTTGCAAAGGTACTTCTACTCCTTCTGACACAGTGCCACAGCTAAATAGGGTTGTTTTTCACTTCTAGCAGTGGTGCAATGCCAGAGGGAAAGGATGTGCCTATGTAAGTATATTGAGGGGGCTCCTTTTCACTGCAGTGTTGGACTGGGATGAGCGCTGTAATGGGGAGGAAACAACCCCCACTCTTCAGCTGATCAAGAGAAGAGTGTGAAGTGTGTGTGTGCCCCCTGTACAATGTGGTGGGTATGTCTTGGCCCCGGGCATGTTCTGTGCTGGCATGCAGCCCCCAGAAGATCTGCCAACTCTCAGTACAGCCCTCTGGTCAAAACTGCTAATCATCCCTGCACCAAACTGCAGCTTGGTGAATGTGAACCTATGTTAAAGTGATAGATACCACATCACATTACAGAGGAGTGGAAGGAGGCTAGCAAAAGGGAACTTTTTCATCTAAGCAACCTCACCACTGCAGCCATCTGTTCTCCCTGTTCATCAGAGCTGAAGGACCCTCCACCCCACTGTGTTCTATCCCATGCCATTCAATAGTCACCCAGCTCACAGGAACAGGTTTTTGTTTTTTGCAGGGGCGGTGGGGGAGTCACCAGACTTCAGTGTGGAGGAAACAATAGGAAAGTCCCTTTCCAATAGCTTGTTTCTACTTGCATTTCTTGGAACCCAACCCGATAGTCCCGATACACATGGGATAACTGTGATTTTAAAATCTTCCATGCTTTTACATTGATCCAGTAATGGAGAAGCTGTTGACATATTTGTTGATCTCTGGGATCAGCACAGCAAGCACAATAAGTCATTTAAAAAATGACTAGAAAAAAGAAAGGATAATTTTTTTACCATAATGAACTTTCAAATGCCCTCTTCCTTTCACACGTGTGTGCTAACATCCACATATTTAATTTTCATTGCATCTGAGATTTGCAGTTAACATATTCAGAATGCTGGCAATATTTAGCTTTCTGTACTAAACCTTGTTGAATTGTTATTCTTTCTTTTGTAGGCCAAAGCCCTTGCATGAAATTCCGGCCTTTTACTGTCCTGACAAAAATAAAGTAAACTTCATTCCTAAAAGTGGCTCTGCTTTCTGCCTGGTCAGTATCCTGAAGCCACTTCTTCCCACACAAGATCTTACACTCAAGGGTGCTACTCATAATCTGACCGTCGCGCCTGGTATGACCCCTGCATTGCTGCAGCCTATTGCCATGGCCTCCATCTCTGCAAGTGCGGTCCAGGAGCGGCTCCCTGGCGGAACAAACAAAATTATACCGCAGATGTCGGTGTTGCAACAGTCGAGACACGGTGAAGAAACTGAAGGATAAACTTGGTTTTGTTAACTTTTAAGAGAACTTTATTGAAGCTAGTTGTGATTATGCCTTCCAAATCACATCTGTTTGCATCATGATTGCTGGCAATTCCATAAACAGGTCATACTAGTATCTTGATCTCCATGACTGTTAGGCTGGCGTGAGATCTAGGAAAAGGAGTGGCAGAGAAACTGCTATACTTGTCTTGGGAAGGCTCAAATTAAATCTCTGGCCTGCACTTTTTTTTAAAAGCTTTGGTACAATAAAGGGAGACAGGTCATAATGCTTTACAATTTGGGAAGACCAATTTTTCTGATGCATTACCAATCTTCAATTTTGAAGAAGGAAACATTCAAGACATACCAGCTGTTCCTTGCAAAAGATCTGCAAGGGAGAAACAAGCAAATGGCACTGTAAGAAGTATTAGTTCATACGAATCTTGAGCTTTTCGATGCGTAGCAGGATGATCCCACTTTTCTTGCTACATCGTTTCCACTCTTGGGACCAAAGGACTGAATCTTCTCAGCATTCTACGATGTGACCAGCATTCTGTGATGTGACCACGTCCTCCTCCCACATAAGCTTAATCTCCTTCAGACCAAGAAGAGAAGCAATATTGGTACATTACGCGCATTGGGGGCGGGAGGTCAAGCACTCACATAGAGGTACCTGTCTGGAAATAGTGTTTTAGAGCACTTCTGCCAATAGTGTAATGACTTGTTCCTAGTGTTGTGTTTCAGAACAATATTCCCTTCTCCCTCCCCCCCCCCCAAAAAAAATGCCAACTAACCGTCACATCAGTGCCTCCTGGGACATCTTGGTTTGTTGTGTCGCTTTCAGAATCTAGAATTGCCTTTTGGCCTATACCCCAATCCTATCATGTCTTGCCACTACTATATAAACTGTGTAGTCATATGATCTTGAAATGGCCATGCATGGTTCTTCCTGCTTGTCAAAGTACTGTCTTGTGGGTCTCTTGAGGGTAAAGTTTGTCAGGCATGATGTTTGTTAAAGCAATTTATTTCAGTGGATATAGTCTCCTTTTTTGACTAGCAATATTGTTAGGGTGTTAACCTAAGGATCGTTTGATTCTTTAATATTGGTCTGCAGTTGTGGCCCATTTAATTTCTTTTGTGATCTTTCTAAAAAATAATTGTCATGGTGTAACAATCAAAAATGGGATGGAGTTTCCATTACTAAATCTGTTTATGAAGGGCAATGAACTAATCTGGTAACGAAAGGAGATTTTACCGAGACTCGTTAAACAACTAGAGCTAGAGCGGCTGCTTAAAGGCCACACTTTTCAGATTCCAAAACGCCTCCAAAATGGCAAATTATCCTGGAAGGTAGACTGTACTATTAGTACAGAATGATTCAAAATTAATTGGTGCCAAGCTATGCAGTTATAGGAAAGTTACTATATTTAAGGGAGGCGTTCCTGGTATCTTTAGACTAACGAAAATATTGTAGCATTAAGTGTGACCATTCAGTTAGTGTGATTGAAAGGCATAGCAATACTGTCACTGCAGTTCATCTTACTATGTCTATTCATCCCCAGTAACCACTTGTTTGGAGTGGGTCACACCAACATCTTGCATTCATTTTTGCTTGCTTAGTAATACCAGATATACCAGCTCCTACATCGCTTGGCCTTTTGGTTTCACTCCATGGCTTTTTTTGTTTCAAAAACAAAACCACCTCTCCATACTCAGGGCATACATACCTACCCAGTTTGGTGTATCCATACCTACCCAGCAAAGTAGGTTCTGGGCTACAATATACTTGTTAGTCTTTAAGGTGCTACAAGACTTTGTTGTTTTTGCTGCAACAGACTAACAAAGCTATGCTTCTGGAACTATTTTTTAAAGTGTTACTTCATCATTTTTGTACCTTGGTCCCGTATTGTACTTGCATATCTTTGTTTCTGCTGTGTTCTGCTTACATATTTTGTATTAGCACAGCAAGACGGTCTGATGACCCCCTCTCCCCCCCATCCAATTCCTTGATCCTAACTTGCCTGACATATCAAGTCTTCGAACTACTTATTTTGCAGCAAAGACATTACCATTAAGGCAGCTGAGTTCGAGTGTTAAAATCAGGTTTTTCACTCCTTTTTGAAACAGGTAAGGATGAAATGGGAAAACAACGTAGTATTTTAAAACTAGGTCAATTGTCAAGCAATGTGTTTCATCAACGTAACTTCTGTGAACGCACAGCCTTATTTTAAATTGAATGTTGTGGCTTTGTGAAACATGGGAAGGTAGGCTCCCTCTGCGTTAGAGGAATCTTTGCATTTAGTTTAAACCCAGTTTCAGTTCTTAAGTTAAACAGCAGCTTATAAGAGACTACATGAAGCTCTTCACTCAATTTTCCCACTGAGTACCTAAGGGCCAAATTACAACTTGGAATGGTATATAAAACATAAGCCTTCGAAACTCATCAAAACTGAAGTTTCCCATGTCTTCAGAACAAAAAGTGAGAAACACACTTCAGGCTGGCCTGCAGGTGAATATGAGAAAGCTGACATTTCAGCTTCCATTAAGAAAACAGTGTTTAGCCCTTGTAATAATTTGAAATTATTGAAAATTCTGAGTAAATGCAAACCATAAGCAGCTCTTTTTTTTTGGCTAGTAAATGTCCACTTAAATGCAATGAGATGTTCAACTGATCTGTACCAACATATATTAGTCCAGGCCAAGTAATGATTTAAATAAATAAAAATTGCTTACTATTCTTTAACATTCCACTTACAAGTTCTCTCCAAGCCTTGATTTTGCACTCCACTGCCTACCTCTGGGTTGCTTTTACCCCTCTGTGACATTAGAGCAATTCAGCCCATGACTTTTAAGAGAGGCAGAATAGCCAGAGAGGATAGTGTTCATGGAAGAAATCAAAAGCAAAGAAGTTAGGACAAGGAAAAGGTCTAACAGAATAATGAAAATCCAGCTTTAGCTAGTTAGAAATAATGAGATCAAATTCATTATCGCCAGTTGTCAGGATTGCCGAGTGTCTATTAAACTGTAATAGCTATGCCATTTTTTCCCACATACGTGGTGGGTGGGTGTAATAATATACATACACAGTACATACATTACATGTACATTCATGCCACTTGTTAGCATTCTGTTTGCTTCATGTTCTTACACAAGAAAAGGACCCCAGGAAACTTGGAAAACGAGGAACGATCAGCAGTGCATCAAAGATTCACTGCCTCTTTCTCATTCTCACCTGCAGCGTGGGGGTTGGCTTGGAGGGGATTCACCCTCCATTTCCCACTCCCCCAAACCAGCTTGTATGTATGTGTAGGGAAACAAATCTCCCCTTTCCTTCAAAGCTGCTTAGAGGAGACGGGCGGGGAACGATGCACTCCAAAGTTTTGTTGCCTTCCTCTCTCTTCCAAATGAAGCTACGGGAATAGGGAGACGGTTGTTTTCATCATTTCCCTTGCCTCCCAACCAGGAGTTGACTTGGGGAAGATCAACAGAGGCTACTTCCTTCCCCGTTAGAATTCCAGCTCCTGGTTGGAGTTGAGAGAAGTCCAGAAATGTAGAAGCAAAACAGAAATGTCTGCAACCCTGGTGAGAGCGAGAGAGTTACTGCCACCAGCTCCCCACAACACTCCTAAAACTGTCAGGGGGAGGAGAATTTGAGGTCTCGCTACTCATATTGTGTCGTCTTGCTGTGTCCTGTTTCCATGGATTTTCTTTCTGTTGTGGGGAGAATCTGCAACAAGAGGCGGTTGGGGGGCGGTAGGATGGGAAATATGGGGGAAAGCTAACCTAATGTGACATTTCCTTGTACCTATGAAAATAGGCCTTCTGGTTTTGTTTATTTTACTTAATTCAATCTGAGGTGTTGCTGCTGCTTGTTTCAGTAAGTTCTCCATCTGAAAAAAAGGAACACCAGTAAAATTGTCTTTAAATGGCTATGTTTGTATTCAGGTGTAAACTGTTAGTGACATGAAACGGATCCTTTGGGGGGAAGAAATGTATGTGTGGTTTTAGCTAGTTGTTGGTGTGGCTAAATAACACTGTATTGGGCAAGTTTCAAGGTATTGTTGACCATAATATGCATTTATCACTAAAAACAAAGTTGTTGACCATAATATGCATTTATCACTAAAAACAAAGTGCAGAGAATTAAGATTGGAGCATCTAAAGGCCTCATCAGTCATGAAAAGTCATATTTCCTTAAACTGATATACAAGTATATCTCCAGTACTAGGTAATGCAAAGGCAGATGACTTGTGTTGGTAACGAAGCATGAATGTTTTCTTTGATTTCATCTTGTTTGGCTATCAGTGTCCTATTTAGATCTGCAAATGGAAATGAAATGTTCCCCAACATGTATCTTTCCTACCATTCTAATTCTGTCTGGATATTGTGTAACGTGACTTCATCACAGCGGTTCACTGCCAGAGGCATGTGATATATTTCTCTTCCGGGTTCCCCCCTTGCTAGAGACTGGCTGTCCTGTTTTATGCCAGTACTAGGGATAAAGACGTTATGGAGAAATCCACGCCTAATTTGGTAGACTGTATGGCTATATGCTATATTTGCAAAGCCAACGATGTTTGTTTATGTAAGACTTTATAAGAATCTTTCCCCTCTCAGTGCACACCAGTGTGTTTGGGCATTTCCTGTTTTTCTATTTTTTATTTTAATTATGTAAGATCTACGTCTGCAAAAAATTCTATTGGATTTTTTTACAAAAAACGTTTTACTCACCTTTATGGGACTCGCACACTTTCAATAAATATTTCAAGTGAAGACTTGTGTGTTTGATTTCCTCTCCACCAGTTTCATAATGAAACATCAGCACTAACATGTGAAGCCAGACTTGCAAATGATGATCAACAGAGACATTTATTTTGGAAGTTCTTACCACACCCACTGGAAATCTTCATTCCATTTATCTGAAATTGCCAAAGGTTGTTTTACAGCAAACATCTCCAGCTAATTGGCACTGCCTCTATTAAAGATTACTTAATTTGAAGAAGGGCTTGCCTTTGCACACACACCCATCTCTGTTTGTGTTCTAGAGCCAGGGTTTTCAGTGGATAATAGTGTCCCAAGAGTTCTTGAGTCAAATCCTAGCTCTCGCAGAAACTCTAGATTACTTTGTGCCATTTTTCCCCCCTTTCCTACAAAATAGACCAAGCTGCTTTATAGAGTTGTGGGGATTGCAGTATTGATGGTGCATAAATGCTAAGATTATATTAACGTTACTGTGTCCAATAAAAGGCATATTCTGAAGGTGACGCGTCATTTGAGTTGCATATTAAGTAAAACATATTTCTAGAACAAAAATAGAAAATTCCGAGGCCAAAATAGAAGTGGATACTCCTTGGGAGACACTGGAGGTTCCCAGACCACAGTTTTGAGATCCATCCAGATATTTTGCCAAGTTATTCCCCTGAGATGTTAGAGCAGGGTGATGTCTACAATTTGGGGTGTACAAAGATCCCTTCCTCTGGCTCCTTGCGCACAGGGCCTTTCTCTCTGTGGGTGGGTCCTGGACAGCTGTGTGCACTTTCTGCATGTTCCTGCCCAGCATAGCAGCCAACTCCTAGGGGCAGGGGTCCCTTCAGCCCCCCAGTAAAAAATTGGGAGCGGGCTACCCTCCAAAAGGTGATGGGCATTGCCATTCAGATGGTGTGCGCATGCACTGCATCGTGTGATCAATTATGTGGGAAGGAGCTTACCTCCCCCCCCTCAAATATTTTACTCAAGTTGGCACCCCTGCCGCCCAGCGAGTTGGGTGGATGCTGTGTGGTGTGTGTGCTCTGTTCTCATTTTGTGTTATGTTTTGAAACTGTTGCGAAGGGGATGGGGGGCTTCAAATCCCTTCCTGGAGGACTGACTGTCTAGGGATCGGCAGGAGTGGTGTTGGCTCTGGTGTTGGAGCTCCTGGCGTGGGTGTGCTATGGCATCGGGGGGGGGGTGCTGATGTTGGTTGTTGGGGTGATGAGTGTTCAGACCTCTGGGCTCTCACTTGTGGGGTGCCTCAGGGTTCCGTCCTCTCCCCCATGCTTTTTAATATCTATATGAAGCCGCTGGGAGAGATAATCGGGGTTTGGGCTGGGTGTTCATCAGTATGCAGATGATACCCAGCTCCACCTCTCGTTTAAATCAGAACCAGTGAAGGTGGTGAAGGTCCTGTGTGAGTGCCTGGAGGCAGTTGGAGGATGGATGGCGGCTAACAGATTGAGGTTGAATCCTGACAAGACGGAAGTACTGTTTTTGGGGGACGGGGCGGGCGGGTGTGGGGGACTCCCTGGTCCTGAATAGGGTAACTGTGCCCCTGAAGGACCAGGTGTGCAGCCTGGGAGTCATTTTGGACTCACAGCTGTCCATGGAGGCCCAGGTTAATTCTGTGTCCGGGGCAGCTGTCTACCACCTCCACCTGGTACGCAGGCTAAGACCCTTCCTGTCCGCAGACTGTCTCGCCAGAATGGTGCATGCTCTAGTTATCTCCTGCTTGGACTACTGCAATGCATTCTACGTGGGGCTACCTTTGAAGGTGATCCGGAAACTGCAATTAATCCAGAATGCGGCAGCTAGGCTGGTGACTGTGAGTGGCCGCCGAGACCGTATAACACCGGTTTTGAAAGAACTACACTGGCTCCCAGTACATTTCCGAGCACAATTCAAAGTGTTGGTGCTGACCTTTAAAGCCCTAAACGGCCTCGGTCCTGTATACCTGAAGGAGCATCTCCACCCCCATCGTTCAGCCCAGACACTGAGATCCAGCGCCGAGGGCCTTCTGCCGGCTCCCTCATTGCGATCAGTGAGGTTACAGGAAACCAGGCAGAGGGCCTTCTCGGTAGTGGCGCCGGGCCCTGTGGAACACCCTCCCTTCAGATGTGAAGGAAATAAGCAGCTATCTTCTTTTTAAAAGACATCTGAAGGCAGCCCTGTTTAGGGAAGTTTTTAATATTTAATGCTGTATTGTTTTTAACACTTGATTGGAAGCTGCCCAGAGTGGCTGGGGAAACTCAGCCAGATGGGCGGGAAATAAATAAATAATTATTCAGTTGTGTGTCTGCTGAGGACATGCCCTTGTCATTGTGAATTCATTCGCTCCTTCCATGTAGGCGTGTCACCGCTGATGCAGTCCCTGATTGGTTGTTGCCACTGGTGGTGTTTCCAGGGCCAGTGAAGGTATGTCTGACATTTTCACTTCGTTTTCTTTGCTTCCTGGCGAGTTTCCCTGGTCTTCGCAGCTGACGGCATATAGAATGCAGTGGCTTTTCTGTCCCTCCCCACCCACCACCACCCTGGGTAATTAGAGTATAGGATTGCTCTGCCCGAGAACCAAATAAAAGAAACCAGACATCAAAACAACAGAAATGAGACATGCCATATTGCTACCTTGTTTACTGTCTGCATGTAAGAGATTTGCTATAATGCTGGCATAGATTAAGAGGAGCAAAGGCTTAACCCAACACTCTGAGTAGTCAACTCTTAACAGCATGCCTATTCCATAATTCTGCAAATCCCCTCTAATCCTTTTTCTGCCTATCTGTGGAAGAAATCTGACGAACAAATGATTGCACCCCATTTAGATATAAAGTGGCTTGTTCTGTATGAGAAACTGGCATCTGCGTTTCGGAAGACATCTCTGAATTCTGCCAGCCACTTAAACTATCTTTGTCCTTAACGTTGGTTTGGAAACGATGGAAGTGATGGCCCAAAATGGAGAGTAATAAGAATCTACATTCAAGCCCAGCTCCCATATATTTTTTAAAGTGCTGTGTCCTGTGCTTTAAAAAAGAATGTTTGCATTTAATTGGAAACTGTTTGTTTTTGTTATTCTTAAAAGCCTCTGAGTTTTAATATTTTGCCTTCTTCCTAAATGCAAAATGACAGGCAAGAGCTGAACCCCCTAGATCTGAATTGTACTGAAAATAATATACAAGTAACAATGCAATCCTTTGCATATGTACCTGGAGTAAGCAGCACTGAAATCAGTGGTTTTTCTCAGTAAATTTGCATAGGATTGTACTTAACATGTGCTTAGAGTGAGCATCTGCACTGCAAGGGAAATTGATGTATGTTCAATTAATCCCATGAACGTTCTCTCTTTCCCTCATATACACAGACAGCAAAACTTTTTTCGAACCTCCGTATACTACAATACTCAGCATACATGCTTTAAAAGCTCCCAGAGCTATGGATTGTATACGTGTATATCTATTGTGTGTGTGTTCTTCTCAACTGATCTGATGTGGCAGACTGACAATCTCCCTGCTCCCCATGCGCCAAAGACTGGTATAATATTTGGTCCCCAAAGCCCCTTACCAACCTGAGCTGGTAGGGCCACCAATTTGAGTAGCGCTGAACTAGATCACTAAGGATGAAGTCCTAACAGAGTCACAGAGCCATTTCATAGTCACTCCCTCTTCCCAGGGAACTCGGGGAATAGGGGGTCTCTGAACAACTCTCAGCACCTTAACAAGCTGAAATTCCCAGGATGAGGTCTAAATCTCGCAGTAAGCAAAAGACTGCAAAGAGCCCCAGAAAAGGGTGTGCTGTACTTCAGAAGCCCAAAGAAAGTGATATAAAATGGTTCCTTACAGGCGCACTCCAAGTGGAGGAGTCTTTCTACTCACTCATATAAAGGTAAAGGTACCCCTGCCCGTACGGGCCAGTCTTGACAGACTCTAGGGTTGTGCGCTCATCTCACTCTAGAGGCCGGGAGCCAGCGCTGTCCGCAGACACTTCCGGGTCACGTGGCCAGCGTGACAAGCTGCATCTGGCGAGCCAGCACAGCACACGGAACGCCGTTTACCTTCCCGCTGGTAAGCGGTCCCTATTTATCTACTTGCACCCGGGGGTGCTTTCGAACTGCTAGGTTGGCAGGCGCTGGGACCGAACGACGGGAGCGCACCCCGCCACGGGGATTCGAACCGCCGACCATGCGATCGGCAAGTCCTAGGCGCTGAGGTTTTACCCACAGCGCCACCCGCGTCCCTTCTCACTCATATAAGGGATGTTAAAACATAGCTGGGGAAAAGTTTTTATTCATAGAAGTATAAGTTTTCATATCAGCTTTGCAAACTGCATTAGTCTCTTATCTCCCCAAAAATTCTTTAATATAGCATACTATATAATAAAGAAGAATGGGACCAGAATTCCACAAAAGCAGCCAGGAAGTTTACATAAATAAGATGTGACACTAGGTCTAAATGTGAAACTTGAATGGAAATGTAACCATATTTGACAACAATAATCAACAAGTCTGTTGCAAAATAATACTATTGGTGTTGTTTCTACTTTCAAACAATATTTATTACACTAATTGATTACCAGAATAACTAGTGAAATACATTTTTTTCTAATTAAAGGACACTTCATGCTTTCTAAAAGTACTCACCAAATTATGACAATTTATGAGAGATGGTTCTGTAACATTTTTTATTAAACTGCAAGCAATCACAAGTAGAAGAATGAGCTACCAATTTAAATTCAAAAGGCGCAAGTCTCTAAATAGAATATATCTTTAAATATGAAGCATTATGTATCTGTTAACATTTTCCTATATACAGAGGGGAGCTATACTGCTCACTGATCATTTAGAAATCAGTTTCCAAATAATGAACTTGTATAACAGATGAAAGATGAAAGCAGACTCAGTACTAGGTATGTTTGCTTTCTTAAGTGATGCAAATAATTGATCAGTACTGTGGAAAACAGATTGCCAATACAGGCAACCAATGTAGGGTTCTGGTGCTTTAAAATTCTTTTTCTAAGATAGGCGGTACATCAGCAGAAAGCCCTTTGTAACATCAAAAGCATGTTCAGGAGGGACAACAGAGACCCGAGAAGTGGCCAGCAAGTTTTCTCTCTGTGGTGTTTCTAGATGGGGGCAACATGAACTCTTCAGAGAGAAAAGCAATAAGGAAACATTGGCCGGGAAGCATTTAACTTCACTTTTCTATCCTAATTACCCTCCAGATGCACCTTTTCCAGGTTATAAAGGGCTTGCAGGACTCTAGTTGGACCTCTTAGCATAACTGATCTTCAGCAGCTGCAAGATACTTGACTTATTTATCTATCCTTCTTCACAGGTACTTTAAAAATAGCTTATATATGCAATATAGGGATTTTTACAATGTACTGGGCATTTTGAAAAAGGTTTGGAAAACTATGATGATATATGCATATAACTGTATCGTCTACACTGCTTGTCCTTCAAGAACAGATGAAATATAAGAGGGCAAAAGTCCAAGAAGTGATTAAGCAAAAATATGCGCCAAGGACTTAACATAAGGAACACCAGTTATCTAGCTGTAATGGTAAAGATAATATAGTTTGCCCAGCTTCCTATAACTTTCATTTATTGACTCTATGGGTGAAATCCTAATTAATTGTGTTGTAAGACATTTCTGCAGTAGTAATAAAGTTTTATAGCATTGGAAATGATCATGAAATCAAGAAACATAGGTGGTCTTTACACCCCTGATATTCATGGACAACATGGATGTTCTTTATCTGCGATGATGTCTGCAACCGTGTCTTAAGGTCTCTCTTGGAAGGACATGGTAGTTTCATACCAAAGTAGTTTTATGTTCTGAGTTACACTTAATCATGCAGTAAGGAGATCATCATCCGAGCGTCCAACAGCATCTGGATTTGAAAGAGGGTCCAAGTCTGCAAAGGCACTAAACCAAGCTGACATGTCTTGGCTACTAGTCTTCTCCACAGCTGAAATACAGGTAAAAGAAACCGATTTCATTGTTTGACCTAGACCAGGCATCTCCAAAGTCTGTTTTGAGGGTTTCATCTGGCCCCTGTGGCAGTTTATCTATTGGGATCAAATCCTTAAAAAAAATCAACAACTTAGGGGTAAAAATTATCGTAGAAAAAGATCGGCCCTCACGCATGTTCACTTCATCAAATCCGGCCCTTTTTGAAGAATGGACACCCCTGACCTAGACAGAGCTTTTAAGAAATCATAGAATCATAGAGTTGGAATAGACCACAATTTTTACTGCTCAGACATTTTCTTCCTTCATCTTAATTAATGAGTGGCTTGGTGATTTTTACTTTTTTTTACTGTATCCTTTTAAGCCACTTAGAAATAATAGTTGCTAATTTTAAAAACGATTTAATAAACAGACAAGTATTCCTAACAATCAAGGTCAATGAACAGTAAAACAAGTTGTCTGCTTAGTACTGCAAGCATTACATATAATTCAGTTACTTTTCCTTGGGAATTTTATTTATATAATGAAGCTACTGTGGCTGCCATTTAAAGTGGAAGACCAGAATGGGGTTAGAGGGGCTTTCTTTTTCTACTGGACACTGCCCTGTCCCAACGATGGTTTCACCTCATGCTCAGTGTGTGTGTGTGTGTTTGTGTGTGTGTGGCGGGGGGGGGGGAATCCGCATTTGTATCTCTCCCTCAAACTTGCCTTTACAGTTTCTGTCTAAAGAGCTGATTTCTCACCCAGGGGAATCAGAGTACATTACGGTTGTCAGGATTACTTTCCTTTTCAGAAGCTAAGGTGAAGGTAAAGGGACCCCTGACCATTAGGTCCAGTTATGGCCGACTCTGGGGTTGCAGTGCTCATCTCATTTTATTGGCCGAGGGAGCCGGTGTACAGCTTCTGGGTCATGTGGCCAGCATGACTAAGCCACTTCTGGCGAACCAGAGCAGCGCATGGAAATGCTGTTTACCTTCCCACCAGAGTACCTATTTATCTACTTGTACTTTGATGTGCTTTCGAACTGCTAGGTGGGCAGGAGCAGGGACCGAGCAACGGGAGCTCACCCCGTCGCGGGGATTCGAACCGCCGACCTTCTGATCGGCAAGTCCTAGGCTCTGTGGTTTAACCCACAGTGCCACCCGCGTCCATCTACATTGCACAAAATGAACGTGCACACCCCACAAAAGGATTTGTGTGAAATATATCACTTACACTTTTGTGGCATCTTTGGTGAGGTTTGTGAAGGTCCTAGCTGCTTCTCAGGCTCTGGTTTGGAGAAAGGGTCTAGAAATTCTGACTGTGTGATCCAACCTCCGGGAGGGAAAAACAGGAAGATCGTCTTTATTTGACACAGTACCATTTAACACATGCTGCTCCATTCACGACTAAACCCAAATAACGATTAATTTCTTAATGCTTACAGCTGTTCAGGTATGCCCACCTCTACACCATCAATAATAACTATGGCAAGAGTTTAGATTTTGGGGCCTAGCAAATATTCTAGGAACAGCAGGTGCATGCCTGCCAAGTGTCACGGTAGGGGCGGGAAGCGGGACATGCTAATATTTCGCATGAGATCGCAGCGGCCATTTTGGGTGATGCACTCACACTCTGACAAAGGGGTTCGGTGGGTCATGTGACTCGCCTGGGAGCACATCCCAGAAGATGCATGTCCTGGTTTTTTTACCTGAAAAAGTTGGATGGTATGCAGGTGTCAATTAGGTAGGCAATCTGAGTCAGTAAACTTTTAAAATTTTATATGTACATATCTATCTCCACCTCTCTTCCCCATAACTTTCTCCATCTAATTCCACATCTAAGTGCCTCCCTGGTGTTTCTGTTTGGTTACATTATCATGCTCAGTATGTCCAAGATCATACTTTTAATCTTTTCTCCCAAGCCCTTCTCTGTTCATTGATACTCTTTATCCATTGACATCACCAGCCTGTTGACGGTCACATGGCCTTAGTATTTATCATTAGCTTCCCTGTCTTGTTCATTCCCCTCATTCAATCCATTGCTAAACCATGTTTCTCCTCCATTTATGTTACTAAAAAAACTGCCTTTCCTAATACTTACTATGAAGGCCAAAATCGAGGAGCTGTGAAGGCAGAAATCCAGATGAGAGTGCTAGGGATTTTGCCTCTGTTCCAGGTTCCTGAACAGGGAGAGCCATGAAGGGACTATCAGCTGCAGTTTGGCATTCCTGTATAATATTTCCTCTGCTTGAAGAACTGGGGCTTGATAAATTCTCCAGGAAAGAAAAATCTCTCTCAAAATCTTCTTCCAAAGAATCTGTTGGAAATTCTGAAATAAATGTAAAATAAAAAGATGATGGTAAAGGAATAGCAGCCTATTTCTTCCCCATGAAGCTACTTCTGCCTCAGAAAGTTATTTAGCAATACAGTCATTCTTTGTTCTCAAGTATATCAATATACAATAACATACCACAAATGATCTCTAATTTGCATAGCTCTCCAGTGATTGCACAATGTGATCCTAGAGCTGGACCTGAGAAACTTGCCCCATAAGTAAAGTCTTCCTTCCTAGCCAGTAGCAAAGACTGCACAAGATCATTTAAAAAATGAAAATCCTGACACTTGGCTGTTTCAGAAAGAAGTGGGAGATAGATACACACACCTGCTTATACAACGAATTGAGAGTGTTTTGTTAGGTAGCAGTTTTTTTGTAAAACTTTTAGACATGTATCTTCTCATAAACCACAGAGCCTAGGGCTTGCCAATCAGAAGGTCGGTGGTTTGAATCCCCGTGACGGGGTGAGCTCCCGTTGCTCGATCCCTGCTCCTGCCCACCTAGCAGTTCAAAAGCACATCAAAGTGCAAGTAGATAAATAGGTACTGCTCCGGCGGGAAGGTAAACGGCGTTTCCATGCGCTGCTCTGGTTCGCCAGAAGCACCTTAGTCATGCTGGCCACATGACATGGAAGCTGTACGCCGGCTCCCTCGGCCAATAAAGCGAGATGAGCGCCGCAACCCCAGAGTCGGCCACGACTGGACCTAATGGTCAGGGGTCCCTTTACCTTTACTAAAGTGACCCCCTTATTTCAAACCCCGAGAGAACTTTCAACAGCAAGATCAGTTCCTCTAGATCAGTTGCTTAAAAGATGAAAGCTATTTAGCACACCTAGGAAGAAAAGTACAACCTGCAAACATGCCTCGGCCTGTAGGCAACTTGGGTCTAGTCTGCATGGAGCTAGCTTGTGGCATGCAAGTTTCTCAGGTTCAGCACTGTGCTTGCCAGTCTCAGTCACTGGCAGATGCCGTAGCTGGAAGAGATCTGCTTTTAGGGTATAAGCCTGTCTTTGTGTGTGCTATTTGGCTTGCGGCCTCAACAGCTGAGGATGCAGCAAACGCTATGGAATGGCTTTTGGCAAAGCCACTTTGCCTCCTGTGCTTCAGGAAGACAAAAACTAACTGGTAGCAAGGAAAGGGAAATGGGTTGGATAATGCCTGGACAATCCTACATTCATGAAAAGGAGAGGGTGCAGAACCCAAGTAAGGTATAATGACTGTGCCTGAGTTCTCGGCAAAGAAGACTGGGTGTGGCGAGACAGAGGGAGGATGTTTTGTGAGCCAGCTGCTGTAAATGAATATTAGAGGTGTTTTCCCCCCTAATCAAGAATGATCTATCACTCCTCTACCCCTATTCAGGTACTCTCCTATTCATGACTGCTTTATTTTCAATCCTCCAGAACCGGATGCTGTCCCACGTCAACACGGCTGGTAGCTTCTACTACTTTTGTAAAATATTGTGCTCAAAGGTAGCTATGTCTGCAAGCTTGCAGATACTTAATTGGCTTAGGATTTTATTTATGTTAAGTGATGAATGAATATGTTTAATTCCATAAGGTGAAGATTTAAGGATGTGAATGTTTAAGTTAAATTTCATAAGAATTGGGATTTGGAAAACCGTTAAAAGGACATGCAATGAAATTCAACCAAGGGGAAGCGAGGAAGTCACTTAAAATTAATAAGTGTAATTTTCAATAAGGCTATGTTTTTTTGTCTTGTATGTGTGTTTGTTTGTTTATAATATTGTGAAAACCAATAAAAAAATTTGAAAAAATAATAATTAAGGTAGCTATGGCTGGGCCAAACAAAAAACAGCTCAGTAGTGTTCTAGGCAGCATTCCTACTGCCGCTATAAATTATAGTGTAATAGCAGCAGCTGTAGTGCTTTTCTGCTAAGTTCAGGGCAGCTGGGCCACTAAATCCTAAGTGACAGGGGAGGGGGAAATGGAGAGGATTGCAAGTGGTTACTCAGCAACCATAGAGGCATCTACTAATACTTCCTGTTAACTGAGAAACGACAGGGAATGACTGCTTGGTTGTCTAGCAACCGCATGAAAATTAGGTACCCGTATTTCCTAGTCCCTTTTCCAACTCAAACTCAGCGAGCCTCAAGCCAGCTGGTAAGTTGCAAGACAGCTGCTGGTGTGATGGGATTCCTCAGGTCAAGAGGAGCAAGAGAGGTTGGTGGATGTGATAAATGTGGAGTTGATAGTGGAGACCAAAAGGCCACACTAATTCATTAAGAGATAGTAAAAAGAAAGAGAGGCTTAAAACCACAGAAGAGAAGATAGTCTACTAATTCACTCCTTTAAAGAATATGCAAAAAAAAAGGAAAAGGAATTGAGGCAGAATTGTAGAGAATGCAACTAAAAAGATCGCAAAAGGTATTAATGAATTCAGCAAATTGTTGTTAAAACAATGGGGCATTAGAGAACATGGTGTCTGTACGTCATCGTCTTCACTGGAGGATGCCTCATCACTGCTGGCCTCTTCATGATGCACTGGAACTGGCTTCCTAGCAAGATGCGGGCTGCTGGACTTGCGGATCTCCTGGGCGGAGCGTTCCGCAGCTTCTGAGGCCACAGCCTCCTCAATGGCTTTCTGCAACGTGAGGTCTGGCTTGGCGAGGAGACGCCGTTGCAGATGGATGTCCCGGACCCCGCAGACGATTCGATCCATCAGGGCATCGTCTGAATCTCGGAACTCACAGTGCATTGCAGCCTGTCTGAGGGCAGTGGTGTAGTTGCTGATTGACTCCCCCTCTGCCTGGTTCCGGTGGTAGAATGCATGGCGGGCAGCAATCTTGGACGGCTTTGGTGCGTAGTGGTTGCGGAGCTTCTCTTGGATCGTGTCCCATGGTGTTGCCTGGACTGCTTCAGGTGCAACCAATGCTCAGGCCGTCTCAAACACCTCAGGCCCACAGAGGCTGAGGAATAGGCCCTGCTTCCGTTCCTTTGATACTGCTGTCAGCTCGTTGGCTTGGAGGTAGCAGTCGAACCGAGCGAGGTAGGAGTCCCATGATTCAGAGGCTGGCGCAAACGGCGGTAGAGGCACAAGTGAAGCCATGATTCCGATGCCGGAGAGAAGGGCGATGGATGGAACACAGTGCTCTAGCCAGAACGGTCAGCTCTGAATTGGTTCTGTCCAGTGATTCCGCTCAGTGATTTCGCTCTGTGATTCAGCTCAGTTCAGAGGATGGCCGCATCTGGCTGTGCTCTGATGTCCACCGATCCCACCTTCGTCGCCAGTGTAGAATAGTGGGCAGACATGGCAGACGACACAGCGATTTCTCCAAAGCAGCTCTTTATTTTGTAAGCTGGAACAGAAAACTGAACAGCAAACAGCTCAGCCGGCCTGCTTTTATAGGCAGCCAGCTATCAACATTGTAGCAACAACAACCCAGGGTTTCCCGCCTAAAATAACTGACGTGGACCTGAGTGAAAACTATCTACAGTATCCCCCTGCTGGCCCAGGGTGAGAACTTCAATACATAACAGTGTCTACCTCTGTCCCCCCTTTGTATATACACACCCACCCATCATCATATTTACTATATGAAGCAAGCTGTATAGCCCAGGCACCCAGTATCAAATGAAAAATGCAATCACACTGTCCTTAACGCATCACAATACAGCTATTTTCTGTACACAGAGAATGCCATTGTGAAAGGAAAGTGTTAATATATTAATTTTCTATTATTTTAGATAGCTATTATAATGTTTCATGCAAACCTTCTTGACATTTTATTGCAATCAAGCAGCATATATTTTGTTAAATAAATAAATGAATAAAATGAAGCATTAATTTTTTTGCAGATTGAGAATTATTACCTTTTTCAGGGATGCATGGATCACCAGATTTGCTCATCTGACAGAGGTTCTCTTTTGTTTCATCTGACCCTGGAATACCAGAAGAAAATACCGTTGGAAATACTTGTATCAAATATAAAAATATAAATCCCAAGCAGAAATTTCTAAATAATCTATCTGGTTCAACACTGTCCATTATAATACTGCTTATGGTGTTACATCATCTCAGTGAATGTACTACTATAGTACAACAAATAAAATCAGACACAAAAATACCAGTAAAAGCTTCATATTGTGGGATGTAATTAACTAAGTCATACTCGGAGTAGACCCGCTGAAATCAATGGGCCTAAGTTAGTCAAGTCCCTGATTTTAATATGTCTAATGGGTATGACTTAATTGGATATAGCTCTTAGTATTTAATAGTTTTGTCCTTGCAACCTTGGGAAACAAATCTTTACATTCACTTTATCGCTCAGAACATTCCACACTCCATCCTTATATCTACATATTATACCCACCGTATCCCTATCCCGTTTTTCAATTTTATCACATGTAACTTATACTGCAATCCAATGCTTGTCTGTCTAGAAGTAAATCTATTGAGTTTTATAGTACTTATGTCCAGGTAAGTGGGTATATGATTGCAGCCTTAAATAAGCCAAAAAGAACATTCTATTTTGTCTAAAGGCATGGGGTTGTATTCAATGTAGCAATAAGCTTTTCCGTTTTTAACGTTTTCTATTTCATATATGTTTTTGTATTTTTATCTGTAAACTGCCTTGAGTACCAGACTGGGGAAAAGGTGGGATATAAATGTAAATTTAATAATAATATAATAGGAGTGCATTTTGCCAGCTTTGGCTTGTGTGCCGAGTAAGATTGTCTTCCATAAACACAGTTTTAACAATGAGTCCGTAAGTGACTGTGGAGGCCAATTCTGGATCCACACGTCCTTCCACAGTGGGGACATTGGCGGGAGTTGATCATGGTGAGGGTTTGCCAAGCGTTCCTTCCTCTTAGCATGTTTCTCCCTTGTGTCCTGAGTTTGAGTGTCTTCAAAGCCCATGACACCTTTGGTACAGGCTGTTCTCCAGTTGGAATGCTCGTAGGCAAGTGTTTCCCAATTGTTGGTGTTTATACTACATATTTTTAGATTTGCCTTGAGACAGTCTTTAAACCTCTTTTAGCTGACGGGTGGTGTAAGTGTACCTTGCTCAAGGAGTGGACAGTAGTTTCTATTCAATGGAAATCGCTTCTCCCTCCCAGCACTGCTCTTTGAACTTCCAAAAACCAAAGGCTCAAACAGCAGGGCGAGGCTGTTTCAAAGCCCTTTGTTAAACATCCCTGCTCTCCTCTTCAAACCTCTGATTTTTGGAGGTTTAAGCAGCAGCACAGGGAACTTACAAAGGGCTATTGGTGTCAGGTGACTGACAGGTGTGCAATTTCACTCACCTGCAAACTTTTGCCCATAAGGGCCATTAAGATCTGGCCCACTGGCCGGAAAAGGCTCCCTACCACTGCTAAATGTAGCCCTGAACCAGGGTATCTGAGAAGCTGCCTCTCCCCCTACGCACATCCTTATCACTTAGATTTGTGGATGACGATTTGGTGATGGTGCTGCATGATCCTGCTGTAAACCATACTGTGACTCAAGTACAGTGGTACCTCGGGTTAAGTACTTAATTCGTTCCGGAGGTCCGTTCTTAACCTGAAGCACCACTTTAGCTAATGGGGCCTCCTGCTGCTGCCATGCCGCCAGAGCACGATTTCTGTTCTCATCCTGAAGCAAAGTTCTTAACCTGAAGCGCTATTTCTGGGTTAGTGGAGTCTGTAACCTGAAGCGGATGTAACCTGAAGTGGATGTAACCCGAAGTACTACTGTACATGCTTTTATCTATGATAGCCTAGTTCTTTTGACTTCTTAGACTAGCTTTTTTTTTATTATTGTTGGCTTCATCTTTTTAATTTTGCTATATTATTTGTATCATGCTCTACTTTTGTACACCTCTTGAATATTCTATAAATGAATTTGGAAATAAATATTACGGTAGGTTGACTTATTCTGATTTAGATTATTGGTCCATCAAGCTTACTTAATGTCTGCACTAACTAGCAGTGAGTCTCAGGCTTAAGCCAGGACTCTTTCTTAGCCCTTCCTGGAGATGCCCAGAATTAAATCTGGAACCTTTTGCATGCAAGGGGGAGAATAATGGAGTGGCGAATCCAAAATGCTCCCCCCCTAATATTCATCATCATCTGGGGGCCCTGAAACACCACAAAGCCTTTGTTACTGGTTCCAGAGATATCTAACCAAATATTTGGCATCTTACCTGAGTCTGACAGAATTTCAGAGGCATCTTCGTCCAGTAAAATCAGCCTTGAGTAAAAATAAATAAAAGTCAGTCATATCAAGCTTTATGGCACTGGAAGCATTTATTTGTGGTAATATTAGTAAAAAATAGGAATGCCTCTTAACAGTGCAAGCCTATACACATATACTTTCTCTAAAGTAAATCCCAATAAGTTCAAAAGAGCATATCACCAGGTAAGTTTTCTTAGGATTCCAACTTTTATTTCTGAATTCATATGGTCAAGATCCAAGGAATAATATCTGCACAGAATAGTTACTCTATTTCCCTTAAGCAGTGCTTTTTCCCCCCTAGAAAAAGTAGTGCCGGAACTTACCACAAATGCCACCCTTGTTCTCTTGTAATGGCAGTGGTGCCTGCGAGTTCTGGCTGGAAAATGCCCTGCCCTTAAGTATTATGTTAGTCTTAGATATAATTTATTTTAAAAGCTGAAAACCCACAGCCCGGGTTGTAAAACCAGTGGGTGTTGTTTGTCTCTAAATGGGATATGGGGGGTGAGGAGGGTGTAGGTTGGTAGTGTTATGTACTTAAGTTCTCACCCTGGGCCAGCAGGGGGATACTGTAGATAGTTATGCAAATAAGGGATCGAAAGTGACGTTCAGTGACTGGATAGTTTTAGAAAGTTGTTACAATTATGTGTAATGGAGCTCTATATAAGCAGGCTGACTGAGCCCTTCAGCTCAGTTCTGTTCTGGCCTCTGAATAAACAAGAGCTGTCTGAAGAATCGCTGTGTCGTCTGATATGTTCACCCACAACTTAACAGGTAGCTTCCCATTGCCACAACAAGGTATTCATGCTCTCTGGATTCACCTAGTTGATCACATCTAACAGCCCTTGTAAAAGATACAGCACATATGCTCAACGTGTGCACCGAATATTTAGAGCAGGGATCAGCAACCTAAGGCCCATGGGCCAGAAACGGCCCGCTGAGGTCTTTTGACCGGCCCACGAACCGAGTTGCCCACTCGCCAGTTTAGCGCAGCGCGGGGACTCACTTCCACAGCGCTGGAAATCATATCTGCGCAGACGCAGACCCCGGAAATCGCATCTGCACATGCCAAAATTTGCGGGCAGGCACACGATCCGGCCCAAGCAAGATAAACCTTGCTGACCACTGATTTAGAGAGTAACAGCAGCTGTGTGTACCTGCTTGATCCAGCACATAGAGAGGATCTCTGTTCCTCCCCACCCCCCATGCACTAGTGTATCCAACTGGCCCGGCAGCACATGAATTCCCATCCTACACAGAGCATCAAGCAGTCCAGGTGCTCATGAGCAGACTCTTCTGTTCATTTCAATTTATTTATTTAGCATCTTTATAGCCCATCTTTCACATCCAGGCACTGACCACGCTCAGAGCTGCTGAAAGGTAAAGGTAAAGGGAACCCTGACCGTTAGGTCCAGTCGTTGACCGACTCTGGGGTTGCGGCGCTCATCTCGCTTTACTGGCCGAGGGAGTACAGCTTCCGGGTCGTGTGGCCAGCATGACTAAGCCGCTTCTGGCGAACCAGAGCAGCGCACGGAAACGCCGTTTACCTTCCCGCCGGAGCGGTACCTATTTATCTACTTGCACTTTGACGTGCTTTCGAACTGCTAGGTGGGCAGGAGCAGGGACCGAGCAACGGGAGCTTAGCTTCTGCAAAATGGTCCTCAGACCATGTCCTGGAATCAGTTGTTAAAGTGTACCCGGAATGGAATAGAGGAGAGACACTGGCAGGTCCCCACTCGAGATGAATGACACTGAGAACCAGCTAAGGAAATCTTTATTCACTTGCAAGAGCCTGGAGAATGAAGGAAGGGAATGGGTATGCCAGCCTCCTCCAGAGACCCTCAGCAACCAGGATGGTAACACTTATGATGTCAAGAATTACAAGTTGCTCTGACCCCTTTGACTTGGTCAGCTGCTTTCTCCCCACCACCATGTGGCCTCCAGCAAATGAAGTAAGCCTTGCTCACTTCTTAGCCTTACCTGGCATGCAAAAAGCTGGACTACGTGCTCAGTTTTGGCTATTTAGTTCTCTGACATGTTAAACCATTAAAACTTACTTATCAAGCATTTCAGGGGTAGTGTCTCCTTCCACATTCTCCTTCTCTTCCTCAGTAGATTGGTTAACAAGCTTCTGCAATTGCTCATAAAATTGTTATTTAAAATAAAATTGTCTATAGTTTGACCCCCTCCAACAAGACTTGTACAGTATTAGGCTAAGACTGGTTGTGTAAGAGTATTAGCTTTCCTATACATATAATGTCAGGCACCATAGTAAAAACAGAAAACCTTAATGTAACCTTGTTTCAACAAAGGTCCGTATAGTTAAAGCTATGGTTTTCCCAGTAGTGATGTATGGAAGTGAGAGCTGGACCATAAAGAAGGCTGATCGCCGAAGAATTGATGCTTTTGAATTATGGTGCTGGAGGAGACTCTTGAGAGTCCCATGGACTGCAAGAAGATCAAACGCATCCATTCTTAAGGAAATCAGCCCTGAGTGCTCACCGGGACAGATCGTGAAGCTGAGGCTCCAGTACTTTGGCCACCTCATGAGAAGAGAAGACTCCCTGGAAAAGACCCTGACGTTGGGAAAGATGGAGGGCACAAGGAGAAGGGGACGACAGAGGACAAGATGGTTGGACAGTGTTCTTGAAGCTACCAGCATGAGTTTGACCAAACTGCGGGAGGCAGTGGAAGACAGGAGTGCCTGGCGTGCTCTGGTCCATGGGGTCACGAAGAGTCAGACACGACTAAACGACTAAACAACAACAACCTATTGACTTATATTGGACCCCTTCCTTATCACAATTACACTGGGGCTGGACGATGCCACCAGTATGCCAGTGAAACGTCACTGTATCAATATGTGCTCTGCACCACAGGACAAAGAGGGAGAAGCATGTAAAAACACAGCAAAAATGAGCCGTGCCTCCAACATCCTTGACAACAGCATCAGTCACACGACATGAGAGAGGCACTGCTCTTATGCTGGCCACAAATGGAGCAGTAAATCCACACTGGCTAATCTGAGGGTATGGCAGGGCGATGCGATGCCACCTCAATGTGCACAACACACAAGCACGCAATACCACAACACCCACCGTCACACGAGTCAAGGATACAGATCTCTAGATGCCCCAGGCACCCCTGCAGGCTAGCACCCCAGCCCCAGGACCTAATTGGAATCCTCCTGAGAAGACATGGGACCATGCCACAACCATCCATCTGCTAAGCTGGTGCTGCATCTTACCAGGCCTACCGACCCTTATCACACAACCCTGTTCATATTCCCACCTGTTATGTACTGAAGCTCTCACCCTGGGCCAGCAGGGGGATACTGTAGATAGTTATGCAAATAAGGGATCGAAAGTGACGTTCAGTGATTGGATAGTTTTAGAAAATTGTTACAGTTACATTGTACTGGAGCTCTAATTAAGCAGGCTGACTGAACCCTTCAGTTCAGTTCTGTCCTGGCCTGTGAATAAACAAGAGCTGTTTGAAGAATCGCTGTGTCATCTGATATGTTCACCCACAACTTAACACCACCACCCTTGTGCACCTGTCTTGACAGCGGCTTTTATGTACACCACTGGCTTCTATAATAATAATAATAATAATAATAATAATAATAATAATAATAATAATAATATATTATTTATACCCTGCCCATCTGGCTGGGTCCCCCCAGCCACTCTGGGAGGCTTCCAACAAAACGCTAAAATACAACAACCTATTAAACATTAAAAGCTTCCCTAAACATGGCTGCCTTTAGATGTCTTCTAAAAGTTTGGTAGTTATTTTTCTCTTTGACATCTGGTAGGAGGGCGTTCCACAGGGCGGGCGCCACTACCGAGAAGGCCCTCTGCCTGGTTCCCTGTAACTTGGCTTCTCTCAGCGAGGGAACCACCAGAAGGCCCTCGGAGCTGGACCTCAGTGTCTGGGCAGAACGGTGGAGGTGGAGACGCTCCTTCAGGTATACTGGATCGAGTGCTAAGGTATACCAGGTGCTAAGGCCCCACAGCTGGTGTAAAATAAAAGGCTGTACCCTTAAGCACGCATTAACAATCATGGAAAGGCAAGCAGACTCTACGAGCCACATATTGATAGAATTACCAAGCCTTGTTTCTTTTTCACATTATTACTATGGTCACAGTTAAGGCTTCATTTTTCCCTTTCCTTTCAAGATAGTCACGCATCTTAAAAGGCTTTTCGGGACACTTCTTGCCATGGAGGTGCAAGGGACTTAATCAGTACAAATATCTCTCTCCAAACTGGAATAGCCCCTCCTAAATCTAACAACTAAAAGAACATTAAAATAATAGAGGAGAATATCATGGCAGTCATGATTCCCCATGCAAGACAAACCACTACTTTTCCCCAAGTAATTGTAAGCCCAATCCTATTTAATATCTAAGTTTTTTTGGAATTACACCTAAGGTTCAAACCACGTATTTCAGATAAAGAAAAGTCATAACTTGTGGATGGGGAAATTAAGTACATGTCATTACATGTCTTAGGTTTTTTCACACCTCTGCCCCGCAAGCAGCATGAGACAGGGAGACATAGGCGCCGACTCCATGGGGCTTGAGGGGGCCCGAGCCCCCTCAAAAATTCGTTTGGGGGGCTCCGCCCCCCCAATAATCTCCGGCGCCCCTCCAGCAGAGCGCCATCGCCGCCCCTCCCCCAGCCCAAAATGCACAGGGAGGGGCGGGCTGCATGCCTCCTGCCCTCCCTCCTGAGCAAAAGCTCCACCCAATTTCCTTTGGAGCTGATTAATAGGCGCAGCACGCTCTCCCCTATTCGCTCACGAGGAGGCGGCACCACTTTATTTGCATATTCATGAGCTTATTTATTATTCATGAGCTTTCCCGGGCCCCCCCAATATTTTTTATAAGTCCGCGTCCCTGCAGGGAGATATTATTATGGTGCTATCACATCACACGTTTTTTCAACTACACTTTGCTAGGAAGACACAGCTTGGCAGTGCCCTTCCGTCTTTCCAAAATGAGTAATTTGGGCCTAAGATGTTTTAAGTATACGCTTGAAAATACACTTGGAGCGCAGAATATGCTGTGCTAACTGACCTAAATACTAAACAGTATATTTTGAAATACAGTGGAACCTCGGTTTTCGAGCGTCTTGGAAGCCAAATGTTTTGGAAGCCAAACGGCGAAAACCCAGAAGTAATTGCTTCCGTTTTCGAACGTGCCTCGGAAGTCGAACGGCTTCTGTGGAGTGTTTTTCAATTTTCTCAGTGGAAATTGCTAACAGCCCTTTGCGCATCTGTTGTTGAACGTTTCGGAAGTTGAATGATCTACCGAAACATATTACGTTCGACAACCGAGGTTCCGCTATAAAACGGATGCAAGCAAGGAAACACAATCCCAAACTAGCTAGCAAAATGCAGTACGCTTACTTTCTAGACCTGGCGTGTGTTTTTTAATTGACCAACTAAGTGAAAAATATCTTTACCTCACATGCATTCTGATGATACGAGTGGAGATGTGCAAAGCCTTCATTAATTTCATTCATCTTTTGAACAGTCTTTTCACAGAAATGCAAAAAGGTCATCTAAAGAAAGCAAAGTAAGATACATTTACAGAATACGTATGTACATGTGTGTGTGTGTGATATTATCTTTTTAAAAAATCATTTTGCGCACAAAATTGAAATAGCAAAGGATATACAGTAAATAATGAATAGATGTCATTCTTTTTCTATATGATTGCATTGAAATGGACAGGCTACACTTAAAAATTCATGAGGTAACACTTGCCCTCCAGAGCTGTTATTTAGGGACACATTTTAGTCAATTATGCTTGCGCAGCTAGGTTGGAAAAAAGGTGAAATAGCACAGAGAGCAAGGGTGGAGTTGTCTTTTTCTGGAGGAAAAAACAAATAGACATTTTTTTTCTGAGTGTCCTAAAGGTAAAGGTACCCCTGCCCATACGGGCCAGTCTTGACAGACTCTGGGGTTGTGCGCCCATCTCACTTAAGAGGCCAGGGGCCAGCGCTGTCCGGAGACACTTCCGGGTCACATGGCCAGCGTGACAAAGCTGCATCTGGCAATCCAGCACAGCACACGGAAACGCCGTCTACCTTCCCGCCAGTAAGCGGTCCCTATTTATCTACTTGCACCTGGGGGTGCTTTCGAACTGCTAGGTTGGCAGGCGCTGGGACCGAGCAACGGGAGCGCACCCCGCCGCGGGGATTCGAACCGCCGACCTTTCAATCGGCAAGCCCTAGGCGCTGAGGCTTTTATCCACAGCGCCACCCGCGTCCCAATATTCTGAGTGTCCTACAGGAGCTTAAAAAAACCTGATCTAATTCTAAGGTGGACAGGGAAAGCTTGCCTTTAACTACTCAAGGACCCCATCTGCACTGTACATGTAGGACACTATCCTACCACTTTAAACATTCATGGCTTCCCTCAAAGAACCCTGGGAACTGTAGTTATGTTAAGGCTGCGGAGAGTGGTGAGGAGATTCCTATTCCCCTCATATAGCTGCTATCCTCTGACTTGCTTCGAAAGAGGGATTAACTGTTACACCAATCTCAGCACCCTGAACATCACTACAGCTCCCAGAAATCGGTCACAGCTTCCCCCAAAGAATAAAGTGGCATGATGTTGCTTTTAAATGTGTAAGGTAAAGGTAAAGGACCCCTGGACAGTTAAGTCCAGTCAAAGGCTGGTTTGAGGTTGCGGCGCTCATCTCACTTTCAGGCCAACAGACAGATTTCCAGCATGACTAAACCGCTTCTGGCGCAACTGTACACCGTGACAGAAACCAGAGCACATGGAAACGCTGTTTACCTTCCTACCACAGTGGTACCTATTTATCTACTTGCACTGGCATGCTTTTGAACTGCTAGGTTGTCAGGAGTTGGGACAGAGCAACAGGAGCTCACCCCGTTGCAGGGATTTGAACCACCGACCTTCTGATCGGCAAGCCCAAGAGGCTCGGTGGTCTAGACCACAGTGCCGCCCTCATCCCATCCATAGATGGGACCTAGGTCATGTGGAAGTACCCTAATATATCGTTTATACTTCCATCAGCCAGCTGTTCTTAAGCATCCTACGCCTACTAGATCATTATGAACACAGGAAGGGCCTACATTAAGCTAAGCATGTTCAGCTTCAAAGGTCATTCATGAATGGCACAGAAATTCTCACGCTGTCTAAAACGGGAGCTGATACCTGGTAGACAGCAAGACAGTGTGACAGCATATTACAGCGGCTGGCTCCAAGAAGATCCACCTTCTGACAAACATCCATCTTCAGCTTATCAAACTGTGCTTTGGTATTTCTTACCTGCATCTGCACCTAGAGCAATAAAAGAGGAAACTGACATGACGTTTGAAAGCAAACAAATAAGCACAACACTCGTTTAGGTGCATGCTCTAAAATCCACTATTTATACTTAGCAGCCTAATCATATGAGCTTCTGCACAAGCAAAGCAGCCTATAAGATCAGGCTTGGTACATACTGTATGGGGGAACAGTTAACCTTGTATTAAAGGTAAAGGGACCCCTGACCATTAGGTCCAGTCGTGACCGACTCTGGGGTTGTGGCGCTCATCTCGCTTTATTGGCCGAGGGAGCCAGCGTACAGCTTCCGGGTCATGTGGCCAGCATGACTAAGCCGCTTCAGGCAAACCAGAGCAGCGCACGGAAACGCTGTTTACCTTCCCGCCGGAGCGGTACTTATTTATCTACTTGCACTTTGACGTCCTTTCGAACTGCAAGGTTGGCAGGAGCAGGGACCGAGCAACGGGAGCTCACCCCGTTGCGGGGATTCGAACCGCCAACCTTCTGATTGGCAAGTCCTAGGCTCTGTGGTTTAACCCACAGCGCCACCCGCGCCCCTTAAAAACCTTGTATTAGTGCTATGTATTAAAAACCTTGTATTAAAAACCTTGTATTAGTGCTAAGACAATTCCCATTAGCTTATTTGTATGTTGTATACTGATCTGTGTATACTTTACATATTCCTCTCATGCTGAAGCACTGACTGGACATCTCCTTGCCAATTCAAACAAACATAAGCAAAAGAATAAATTACTTCTGCAGTGATTATTTAGGAGGATGTGTCTTCCTATTCCTGCAATATTTACACAAACTCACACCCCTGGAGTTATTACTCTTAATTAAGGACAAGTCTTTGTTTCTTTCTCTTTAACTCCTTTCTTGAAATCTCCGAAAGTCCATTTTATCCTGCAGAACCAGGGGAGATTTAAAGTACAAATAAATATGGGATTCCCACTTCTTGGTGTGATGGAGCGTGGAAAGATTTCAGAAGAGAGCGCATGTGCTTGAAACTCATCACCAATCCTTCCGCAGATGCAATCCCTGGAAGAAACAGGGCCTACAACAGTCTACCCCAACCTTTTGGATCACAGTTCCCATTAGCAGAGGCACCGGCTTGCAAGGATGATGGGGGAGGGGCAATTGTTATGTACTGAAGTTCTCACCCTGGACCAGCAGGGGGATACTGTAGATAGTTATGCAAATAAGGGATCGAAAGTGACGTTCAGTGATTGGATAGTTTTAGAAAATTGTTACAGTAACGTTGTACTGGAGCTCTAATTAAGCAGGCTGACTGAACCCTTCAGTTCAGTTCTGTTCTGGCCTGTGAATAAACAAGAGCTGTTTGAAGAATTGCTGTGTCGTCTGATATGTTCACCCACAACTTAACAGCAATGTTGCACACATGACATCAGGATGCATGGCCAATGGTCAGGGATAATGGGAGTTGTAGTCCAACTCCCTAGGAGATCTAAGCTTTGGGAATATCTACTTTTCTGAATGTTTCCATTTGTTTGCAAGTGTCTGGGTCCAGTTCTTGCGAAGCATCCTTCATCCACAGCAAAGCCCCTCTATACTCTGTGCGCGCCTGCTCCATTCGATTGATTGTAAGCAAAGTATCTGACACGGCCCTCCGACTAAAGGTTGCAAGTTCTTGTCCGAGGCGAGACAAAGCCGTGCCAAGAGCTAGCCTGAAGTGAGGGGGAAAGTGAACTTGATTAGTTATCACACCAAAACACCAGTGGTACATGACAGAGGATATAGAGGACAATGAGCAGTTCCAATCATCAATATTTGTATTGGAGAAAGGCTTAATTCATGTAACTATTTTAACGTCCTTGTTAAAAAGCAAATAAAGTTGAGGGTGTTGCATTCAATGATGTATGTACAACAACCATGAGTGATACGAAAACCCTGCTTCTAAGTAAAATAATACTAGTCATGTTGTAAATAGTTGTGTCTGCCCTTACCTTATAAGAAAGAAATGTGTTTTTATACTGAAAAAAGGTTTTTTAAAACTGCAGCCTGATTTCAATGGGAGGCTCATGTGAAGTTGAGCTTGCATAGCAATAAAGAGCACCAGACTATTAATATCTTAAACGCTATCCAACTGAGATGTACATCGCATTTACTTCGAAAATACCATTAAAAAATTGGAATTTTATCCATTAATCCTAAACACTATTTCGTGGATATCTTCATAGTGAGTCAAGTCACGTAATTTTGCAGCAAAGTTTATTTTTGCAAATAATAACCTGAGCATATATGAATGCAATTTGAATTCTGCATGGGCACTTTTAGTCAAAATGGTCTTTGCAGAAGCTTCTTATGCAGACATTTTCAAAAACTGGTCTTACCTATCATGCCCAGTCAGATACAGCCAAGATCATACCCCCCCCCCTTCTCCTAGTGAATTTCTATCTTGCCTGCAGATTCCAGAGAAGGCTTCACACATACAGTGATACACGCAAAGGCCCTCTCACTACAGACATTTGTGCTATATTTGCAGATATCAAGGGAAGAATGTGCAACATCAGGCATGAGGCTACTCGGTGCAATGTGCTCCTTGTTCTCATGTAGTTCAACATGGGAGCAAAGAACACCTAAACAGAGCTAGCAGAGAGAAATTAACACTTGTGGATTCGTTGGTTTTTGAAGAAAATCTTAATCTTGTCTCAATTCAAGTTATTTGCACTCTGGAACATCAAAAAAGGATCTGAACTCATTCAGCTTATTAAGTAAAAGGTAAAGGTAAAGGACCCCTAGACAGTTAAGTCCAGCCAAAGGCGACTATGGGGTGTGACACTCATCTTGCTTTCAGGCCGAGGGAGCCGGAGTTTGTCCACAGACAGCTTTCCGGGTCAGATGGCCAGCATGACTAAACCGCTTCTGGTGCAACGGAACACTGTGATGGAAATCAGAGCGCATGGAAATGCCGTTTACCTTCCCGCCACAGCGGTACCTATTTATCTACTTGCACTGGTGTGCTTTCGAACTGCTAGGTTGGCAGGAGCTGGGATGGAGCAATGGGAGCTCACCCCGTCGCAGGGATTCAAACCGCCAACCTTCTGATCAGCAAGCCCAAGAGGCTCGGTGGTTTAGACCACAGCACCACCCGCGTCCCTTAGTCAACGTATTATTTTTATATAACACACAAACCTTTGTTGGGAAGAAGAACAGAGGGCCTGGCCAGTTGCATCAGTCATCTTGTCAATTTGAGCTTCACCCTGATCTGCTTGCAACTTTAAAAAAAGCCCTAGTTCATTTTCCTGCTCAGATAGATCTACAAAAGGGAGATACATAATAAATCAGTTGACACATATTCACACAAATTAAAAGCAAGGTCAGGAAAGGAGAAGCATTCTTCTTAGTGACGTTGTTAGATCATAAACGATGTGAGGATCTCTCTATTGCAGGAAATACATGCTCATCCCACCCACCACTGTACCCAATGTGTTTTGACTATGCAATTTTGGCTTTAGGCATAGGCTTGCTGTAGTTTTTCATAGCTGCACTGTTCTGACAACAAGGATATAATAAATTAACTACTGAAAGCAAAGAAGGGCGAGCAGCCCTGTGGTCACATCGAAAAGGAACTGGGTCCTTTGACATTCCAGTCCATGAGGGGATGTTTCAAGCATTCAGAAGTACATTCAAAGGGCCTGATTCACTCTGCTGCCTGCCACTGTCTTCACAGCTGTTTCATATCAATCTCACAACCTGAAAGTGCAGGAATTATTAACTAACTTATGGTACACCTTTTGTTGTAAAGTACTATGAATAATATATGGCAAAAACTGAAAGCCTGAAAACATTCATCTCACTCAGTATAGAATATATATCTTATTTCACTGTAACATGGATTAAGGAATCTGGCATCAAGAAAAAGCATTATTATAAAGCAACAAACAGGTAGATTTTTGTTCATTTTACCATTAAGTCTCTGCTGGTATTTTTCAATTGTCTTCAGAAGATCTGTACAGGTCACCTGAATGCTCTGAAAAACCTTAAAAATAAAAGGTGTGTCAGCAAATTAATTTGGCCAGAAAAACAAATGTGAAGATTGAAATAACCGTTGATTTAACTAGCAAACCTCCCAAATACAAGCTGAATCAATAACCATTTGATAAATTCAGCTAACTTTTACTCAGCGTAAACCTATTGGAAGTAATAGCCCTGATTTAATTGTATGGTTCTACTCTGAGTAAAAGTTGTATGCCACCCATGGTATTATTAAAGAACTGTACTTATAAATGAATCTCTCTCCGATATATGTATGTATATAATTACCTCTATTTTGGCATCTAATTCTGCGTCAGATGCTACCACATGTTCATCTTCTTTCTTTCCTGTAACCTTTATTAAAACTTGTTTTGTTTTCCAGTATTTTTTCTGCATCCTGCTGACTACTGACTGGTCTTCCAGGTTCCCTTGCTTGAAGGTGTCCATGGAGTGACTAAACCCAAAAGTAAATAGATGTCCACAAGTCCAATAAAGAAGTATCTAAGAAGATAAAATTGGGGATACGCTGTACCACTTCAGTGCATTTCTCAAGCTTAAAATATAGGAAGTGTAAACTTTCTTTCTTGGACTGGTTGAAAGGAAATACTGTACACAGTTTGCAAGCTACAGTCTAAGTTTGCACTGGGATGCGATGCTTAGCAACTTGATATTTATGCTTGGTTTAACTAGATCAGTTTTCCGTATCAGATTAAATGCCATTGTTTACTACAGTACTCCCTGAAATTTAAATTATTGAAGAGCTATTTCAGATTGAGATCCCTATAAATTTTTAAGACTGTTTTTTTCTTTTCAGAAAAGTGACAGCAACAGTCCTTTTCAGAATCAGAAGAATCTTTATTTGCATCAGCCACTAGCCATAGCAATAAAATAAAATACTATGTACTGAAGATAGAGCTAAAAACGTAACTATACAAAATACATTTTAGAGGTTTACATCAATAATCAAATAATAGATCTTATTCTAATTGCCCCTGCTAAAAACCTTGCAGTTTTTGCTGTAACCTGATCATCTTGATCTGCTAAAAGGAAGGCCAGAGTAGCAATGGTTGAGCGACCCAACATGGAGAATAATAGAGGGGTAATAACCTCACTCCTCAAATCCTTATAAAGAGTGCAAGCCAGAAGCACATGAGCCACTGACTCAATACTGCCATCTCCACAGGGACACAACTGTTTTTCCCAGAGATTTTTTTTGAAATCAACCCTCAAATACAGCCGAAGGCAGTATATTCAATCTCGCGAAAGTGAAAGCGCGTCTGTATTTTGGAATTGTCAAATTTTGCAAACAGGATGCCGGAGTGTCAAAATGACTAGGTGGAAAATAATCATACCATGGACAAAAATTCCTTATCATGGCCAATTTATTCTGTCGCTCGATATCGTATAGGCGCTGTCTAATTAAATTATTTAAATTATTAAATATTATTTAATTAAATTATTTGCTTTACTGAAACCCAGTGTTAATAACTGTTGCGGTGATAAACCAGAAAAGTAAAGCTTTTTGGTTGACAGTTTTAGTCCAAACGCTCTCAGGACAATCTTGCGATACTAAGGATAGTAGACCGGTGCAGTTTAAATAGCAACAGTCTCTTTTCCTATGTTCCGTCATTTCAAATGACGCATGCCCAGTTGTAGAGAATTGAAAGCCTATGTCAGGGGTAGGCAACCTAAGGCCCATGGGCCACAAGTGGCCCACAGGGGTCATTTAACCGGACCATGAGCCACCCCCAAGCTGAGCTGCCCGCCCAGCGAGTCCCCACACGCTGCGCTGAACCGGCACAGCGTGGGGACTCGCTTCCGCGGCACCAGAAATCGCATCTGCGCAGACGCAGGCACTGGAAATCGCAGGCACAATCCGGCCCACGAAGGGATCTCCGCTGGAGTGAACCAGCCCAGGCGAGGTAAACCTTGCTGACCCCTGTAGTCCAAACCTCTGCCATTGGGAGAAGACCAGCAGGGCTTCCTATTTGCCAAGAGGCTGTTGAAGCGGTGGTATTGGTGGGGCGGGGTGGGGGAGAGGCTGCCAAAAAGGGGGCGGATCTGGTCTCCAAAGGAGTGTGCCCCAATGGTTGCTACCACCACAGTGACGGCTTTCACAAGCAGCTTAAGGCAATCATTCATGGATACCTTCAGGCCCTAGACATTTCCTTTTAAGCTTCAGCAAGTGGGACGCGGGTGGCACTGTGGGTTAAACCACAGAGTCTAGGACTTGCCGACCAGAAGGTCGGCGGTTCGAATCCCTGCGACGGGGTGAGCTCCCGTTGCTCAGTCCCTGCTCCTGCCAACCTAGCAGTTCGAAAGCACGTCAAAGTGCAAGTAGATAAATAGGTACCACTCCAGCGGGAAGGTAAACGGCCTTTCCGTGCACTGCTCTGGTTCGCCAGAAGCGGCTTAGCCATGCTGACCACATGACCCGGAAGCTGTATGCCGGCTCCCTCGGCCAATAAAGCGAGATGAGCGCCGCAACCCCAGAGTCGGTCACGACTAGACCTAATGGTCAGGGGTCCCTTTACCTTTAAGTCACCTGAAGACTGCCCTTGGTCAGCTTTCAGGGCTTGAAAGGAGACTTACTTACATCCTTCAACACAAGGTTAAAAAGTCTATATGCAAGCAGCTGTGCGAGGCTGGTAAAACTTTGTATTTAAGAACTCTCCTGGTTGCTATAGGCAACTAGGAGTTCTATATAGGCAAGTGAGGAGCCTGGATGAGGAGCGAAGGATCACTTGCCCCTTCCTCCTTGGCCAGCAAGGTGATGCAGGAGACTTGTGGTGGACGGGTGCATATGATAAATGACAACTTTTAAAATGGCCTGCTAAAGGAGCCATTAGTAGCCTGGTTTTTCCCCCATGCTGGCTGCAGAGAAGGGCTTCCAATCTCCAGGACCAGTATGGAAACACCAACTTTAGGTTTTCGCTCTTTCTGTAATTGTTCATTGTGCACACTGATGTTTTTGTTTCAGCTGTGATTTTTATCACAGCTGAAACAAAAAACACCAGTGTGCACCATGAACAGAGTGTGCACCAGAGAGTGATATTTATTGAGGATCTAACAAATTAGAAAATAAAAACTTGAGTTTTTCCATGGAGCTCTATGAAAGGAATCAAAGTACTGTTGGAACGTTGAGGGCTGTGGTTGCAGGAAACCAAGGTGGCAACTTCAGTTCCCAAAACTGATCTCAAAAAGTGGTTGTTTGCTTTTAAACTAACCCACAAAAGAGTATACCATAATAAACGTGTTAGGTCTGAAGTTGACACCAGACTCTTGCTACCAGAGCCTAACATGTCTATTTGTTTGTATGTTTGTTTGTCTATTAAATTTCCCTTCCCACCCTTCCTCCCAAAGCAATTCAGGGTGGCTACTCTTCTGAAAAGCATCAATTTATAGTGATGCACATGCTAGAAAGCTCTTTATATCCCTTTGCTGAGGCAACGCGGGATTTAGGGAGCTGTGGGCAGTTTCCCGCCACAGGGCACTGAGCTGAGAAGACGCAAAATAATAATGATAATAATAATAAAACCTATACAGCATTGATAGGGGTAGCGTCTGAGAAAATCCATAAAAAGCCACTGAACCAAAAGGAATTATTGTGAAAATAAGAAATACTTAGGGGCGGAGGGGCGCTAAAATTTGTCCTCTCTCAGGTTGCCACATAACCAACATTCGCCCCTGGATGATCCTGAGGCAACTTCTCACATGGGAGAAAGAGCTGCAATTTTCATTTATAACCTGAAATGCTGTTTCGGTGACCACGAGCACTTTTCTACGCATCTTTCCATGTCTGCCTCATCGCATTTCTTTGATTTGAGGGAGGCACTTGAGTCAAGGGCAGCAATAAGCAGGTGCCACAGGCGGTGTGCCACAGGTGGTGTGCCACAGGTGTGCTACAGGCAGTGTGCTGCAGGTGTGCCACCGGTGGTGTGCCACAGGCGGTGTGCTGCAAAAGTGCCACAGGCAGTGGCGGAGCTTCATGCTCCAGCACTGGGGACGGAGAGCAGGCGGGGGTGGGGCTGGTGCGCATCCCAAGGGCGGGGTGCGCTGTCAGCAGGGGCGTGGTACACATCCTGGGGGCAGGGCATGCTGCCTGCGGGGGCAGGGCGCCCAGCACGGGTGGGGGGACAGCCGCGATGGCATCCTGGGGATCACGCTGCCAGGGTTGGTGCGCTCCCACCGAACTCTTCCTTCGCCAGTGGCCACAGGTGTGCCACAGGCGGTGTGCCACAGGTGTGCCACTGGCAGTGTGCTGCAGGTGTGCCACAGATGTGCTACTGGCAGTGTACCACAGGTGTGCCGCAGGTAGTGTGCCACAGGTGTGCTACAGGCAGTGTGCTGCAGGTGTGCCACAGGCAGTGTGCCGCAAGTGTGCCGCAGGCGGTGTGCCACAGGTGTGCCACAGGCAGTGTGCCGCAAGTGTGCTGCAGGCGGTGTGCCACAGGTGTGCTACAGGCAGTGTGCTGCAGCTGTGTCACAGGCGGTGTGCTGCAAGTGTGCCGCAGGCAGTGTGCCACAGGTGTGCTACAGGCAGTGTGCTACAGGTGTGCTGCAGGCGGTGTGCCGCAAGTGTGCCGCAGGCGGTGTGCCACAGGTGTGCCACAGGTAGGTGTGCCACAGGTGTGCTACAGGCAATGTGCTGCAGGTGTGCCACAGGCGGTGTGCCGCAGGTGTGCTGCAGGCGGTGTGCTGCAGGTGTGCCACAGGCAGTGTGCCACAGGTGTGCTACAGGCAGTGTGCTACAGGTGTGCTGCAGGCGGTGTGCCGCAAGTGTGCCGCAGGCGGTGTGCCACAGGTGTGCCACAGGTAGGTGTGCCACAGGTGTGCTACAGGCAATGTGCTGCAGGTGTGCCACAGGCAGTGTGCCGCAAGTGTGCCGCAGGCGGTGTGCCACAGGTGTGCTACAGGCAGTGTGCTGCAGCTGTGTCACAGGCGGTGTGCTGCAAGTGTGCCGCAGGCAGTGTGCCACAGGTGTGCTACAGGCAGTGTGCTACAGGTGTGCTGCAGGCGGTGTGCCACAGGTGTGCCACAGGTAGGTGTGCCACAGGTGTGCTACAGGCAATGTGCTGCAGGTGTGCCACAGGCGGTGTGCCGCAGGTGTGCCACAGTTAGGTGTGCCAGCGCAAAACCCTCCCTCCGCCCCTCCCATGGCCGCCCTCCCCCACCCCGACGAACTGGGGCAGTGGGAATTATGGGTGTTGGGATGGTGCAGACAACGGGTACTGTATATTTATTTCTAGGTGGGCCCGTTGCACCCCACATATTAAGGTCTCTGACAGGAAAATAACGTTGACGACAGCAGTTCAAAAGTGGGGGGCGGGGCAAGTGGGGAGGCGGGCTCACTGCTTCGGAGAGCCTCCCCCACGAAGAAGCCAACGGTCGGGGGGCGTGGCCAACCGCCGCAGCAAAGGCCTGAGGGGGGGAGGGGATTTAACGGCGACGTGAGGCGCTCCTTCCCCTCACACACTCTTTCCCGCCAAAATGCTTACCGTTAAACGCATTGCTGGGCGCGGCTTCTCCCATGAGCATTTGGCTGGACACTGTTGGGAAGGAATACTGTCATTATTTGCGCATTGCTCTGCATTACCTTGTTTCATTAGAAGATCGCCCACATTTCTATACTTGCAGGGAAAAACGAAGAGCTGCTTCTGCAGATCACGTCAAATTATCCCAATGGTTTAGCCCCCCCCCCGTTTTAATTGGTCAGTTCAAATCACAGCATATGAAATATAATAAACGAACTTGGAAGTCTCTCTCTTTCTCTTGAAGCCAAATATTTCTGGTATCTGCTAAAGTTCAACACTCCCGATTTTGAAAAAGTTCTCTGCAGTTTTTCTCAGTCTCGATGTTTCTATAAGGATGGATGATAAATGCATTTATGAGAATGAGAAATTAAGTCTAAATTGGGAGAGGGAGATGGTGAAATGACTGGAAGATAAAATGTGCCCCAAAAGTGATACCATTAATTGGACATCTTGCATGGGTTTAGCACAGTTTATTTTCCCCTGTCTCCCTCCTACCCTCCACCAGGAAAGGATATTCAAATAGGGCTGTAGCTATATTTTATAAAATTTTATTTCATAATAATTATATTTTATTTATTTTATTTTCATAAAATTAATTATACCCATCATAAGTTTGGCCCAAGGACAACTTCTCTCTGTTGGGAAAGATGGCAAAAAGCAATTAAAATAAACCTGATAGGAAATACTATTGAATTCGTATACAGTACTCTGGTCTCCCAAGCAAAGTTTGGACAAGTTATAAGCATTTATGACGACTTTCAAAGGTGCAGAGTGCAGACCATCAATTTCAATCTAAAGCCAAATGTGTATGTGTGTGCGCACGCGTGTGTGCATGCATGCATGTGTGTGTCAGTGTGTTGACTAGCTAATCCACAACTATTCTAAGCCTGTTAATATAATACTGAAGAGGGAAGGCACATTGCTAAACCTGGTTACTTTGTAACTGGGAAAATCCATGAGTGTGAAGGTGTTACAGTACTTAAGTCCAGTGGTAGGTAGCCGTGTTGGTCGAAAGCTTATACCAAGAACAAACTTAGTTGGTCTCTAAGGTGCTACTGGACATATACATATATACATATACATATACACAGAGAGAGAGAGACAGACATATACATATACATATACATATATATAATTGATTAAGTCCAGTGGGTGTGCTGAAGACTTAGGACAGGCTTGCACAATCTATGATCCACCATATTGAATATAGCCCACCTGTCATATGCAGTAAATAGGCCTCTTATCTTTTTAAGTCCCAAGTAGGCAGCAAAAAAAACCCCTGAAAATGTAATAAAATTATTATTATTATTATTATTATTATTATTATTATTAAGCATTTATACCCTGCCCATCTGGCTGGGTTTCCCCAGCCACTCTGGGCAGCTCCCAACAGATTATTATTAAAGTGATAAAACACCAAACATTGAAAACTTCCCTAAACAGGGCTGCATTCAGGTGTCTTCTAAAAGTCAGATAGTTGTTTAGATATTATGTCTTTATTGTTTTAAAATAAATACATTTATAGAAAGAAAAAAGAAAAAACATACAAACAAGCATACAAGCATACAAGCAATAGAAAAAAAACAAACAATATAAGAAACAATAATCATATAACAAACATCATTTATACACCCAACAATGCAACCTTCAGATGTCTTCTAAAAGTCAGATAGTTGTTTATTTCCTTGACATCTGGATGGGAGGGCGTTCCAAAGGGTGGGTGCCACCACCGAGAAGGCCTTCTGCCTGGTTCCCTGTAATCTCACTTCTTGTAGTGAGGGAACCACCAAAAGGCCCTTGGAGCTGGACCTCAGTGTCTGGGCAAAACAATGGGGGTGGAGACGCTCCTTCAGGTATACTGGGCCGTTCATGGGGCAGTGCTGGATTAAACTCTGTGGAGGCCCCTTGGCAGTCAAAATCTTGGCAGGGGGCAGGTGTCGTGCGCACGCTGGAATAACATTGAACTAAGAAAGCTTGATTGTCGTTTTCTTTCAAGATCAAATCAATGTTATTTTGATCCATTGTTGCGGGACCCCTAAAAAGTGTGGGGCCCATAGGCCAGTGCCTACTCTGCCTATTTGGTAATCCAGCCCAGCCCTTTTGGCTGCAGGAGAGAGTAGAAATGGAAGTTGATGGACGCCTCCTGATGCGCTGCAGCTGTTCCCCACAGTGAAATGGAAGGCTCAACATTTGTCAGGCACTTTCGGATGCTCAGCAGCCTTGTGTGGTTACAACAACCCTGTAAAGTAGGCCAGTGCTATGCGCTCTCCAAATTGCAGCTGAATCCCTCACAGATTGGCATCCAACCTCTGCTTAAAAGCCAAGGAAGGAGAGTCCACCACCGTCCCAGAGTCTTACCATCAGAAAGTTCTTCCTAATGTTTAGTCCGAATCTCCTCTCCTGCCCTCCCCTCTGGAGCAGCAGAAAACAAGCTAGCTGCCTCTTGCAGTGTTCAGATATTGGAAGATGGCTCTCCTTTCTATCTCCTCCTCTCCAGACTAAACATACCCAGCTGCCTCAACCATTCCTCATCAGGCTTGGTTTCCAAACCCTTCATCATCCTAGTTGCCCTCCTCTGCTCACCTTCCAGCTGCTCAATATCCTTCTTCAATTAGCCAGCACTGACTGGCCGCAGCTCTCCAGGGTTTCGGATGGGGGTGAGAGACATTCCCACCCCACCCCCCGAGATGCCGCCCAGGACAGAAGACCTGCATGCAAAGCAGATGGTCCAATCCTGCGTTATGGAGACCCCTAGCCTGCCTTGAGGGATGTGGGGATGATCTCCCTTTGGAAATGGGGCTGCAGGCAGAACAGCAGGTGCCACCAAGTTCTGACAGTGGAGCATCACCTCTCAGGAGGGGCCAGGTCCAGGTGGGGAGGTTGCCACGGTGACAAGGACCTGCCCTCCTTTGTGACATCTCTTGCTTCTCCCTTAAAAGCCACCACTAGCAGGCAGCCATTGAGGCAAGTTGAGTAGTAGAGAGAGGAGTTGGTGGTGGTTGGAGACGGAAAGGAGAGGTGTTCATTTGATTTTTATTTGATTTATTACTTTTGATTCATTTGATCCTATTTTTATTTTATTTATTATTTTACTTTTGAATTTTAACATTTAATTTTACTTTGTAGTTTGTTTTTTGTTTTCATATTTTTTTATTTTACATTTTTATTTTGTGCACATTTTGTATATATTTATGCATAGAGGAGTAGTTAGGGGTAAGCGTAGGGTTACGGTTAGGCTTAGGGCTGGGGTCAGAGTTAGTCTTGGGTTAGAGAGGAGGGTGGGATTTTTTTGTGACCAAAATGTGCAGACTGTAAGTAGGATTCCTTCCCTTTCTCTTGTTCTCCTGGGGGTGGGGGGGGCGAGTCCTGGGGTCCTCTGCACAGCCTTAACTCTCTGGAAATCAACCCAGCCAGTCTTCTCCAGAGAGCTCAGCACCTCCACACTCTTTCCCTGCCTTCCCCTTTTCTCTCCCCTCTCATCATTTACATTTACTAGGACATTCCTAGCCCACTTTCCTCCCAGAAGCTCAAGGTGGCCTTCATGGTTCTCCCTGCCACCAATTGTTATCTTCACACCAGCCCTGCAAAGTAGGCTAGGCTGGCCCAAGGTCCACCAGGGAGCTTCATGGCTGAGTGGGGGTTCAAACCCTGCTCTCCCAGGTCCTCCTAGTCCAGCCCTCCAACCATTACACCTCTGCCTGGCTCCATTTTGCATCTCTCCAACTGCCCTACAACATTGGCCTTCTCCCCCTTTCCTGGGGGTCTCTCTGGCTCCATGGAAGACTCCACCCCCTTCCTCATGTTCTGCTCCTCTTCTGGGACACCTTGATGCTTGGAGGACCCTCCTAGGGGTCTCCACCCTCTCCAGGAAGGGCAAGGCTGTCCTAAGACAACAAAGCAGAGCAGCCCTTTAACAGCTGGCAATGCTTGTCTTTCCTTTGGGCTGGAGCTCTTGAACCCATAGCACTTGAGGCCTCCTTTCTCTCTCTCTGGCAGCCCTTTGTGCTCTGGGCTGCCTCTTTCCAGCTCTGGTGATGCCCTTTCAGGTCAATGAACTGCAGAGAGATGGAAGGAATTGGGCCAGATGTCCCTCCTCACACACGAACACCGCCAAAGAATTGGGGCTGCCAGCTTCTGAGTCGCTCTCTCTGCTTGTCTCTTCTAGGTTCAGGTGCTTAAGACGCCTGATTGGCCGCAGCAAAAGGGTGGCCCCCCTGCAAGGCCCGGAGCAGCCCGTGGTGTCAGGGGGAGCAAGTGACCCTCCTTTTTGGGACAGAGGAGGGCAGGAATGGGCTGGGGGGCAGGTAGTCAAAAGAAGCACAGAGCCAGACGGCTGGATCCGACCCAAGGTCCATCTGGGCCAGCATCTGGAAACCCAACACACACACACCCCAGCGACCACCCCATTTTGTGGGGTCCGATGGAGGAAGCAGGGGGCCGGGCTGTGGGGCCAGGATTGGCCCCTAAGGCCTGGGGTGTCCCTCCCCTGTAGTAGGACTTGGAATCCAGGAGAAAACTCTTGGAATAGCCTTGCCAAGGGCTCAGGGATGAACTCCCCTGTCCCCATGTCCTTCTCTTTGCAAATGTACTGGGGTTCCACATCTCTTCCCTGGGGGTGAGTATTGGATAAAATGAGAGCAGGGAGTGGATCCCTCAGACCTGCCCCCCACTGCTCAGGCTTTTTGCCCCCCACTCTGCACTATCAGATGCGGAGGAGCCCTCTCCCCACGAGGAACTGACAGCCTGACTTTTGCATTTCAGCTGCTGGAGGAAGATCAGCTCCTCCAGCTGAGGTGAGTGGGGTCTTTGGGGTGGGCGGGGTTGGTGGGGCAGAACTCCAGGGGGCGCTCTGGGTGGGCAAAAGCAGGCAGGAGGGAGAAGGGGGCAAGAGAGACTTGGAGGAGGCAGCATCTAACCCCTTCCCTTTCTCTCTCCAGCTTCACGAGACCCCATTTCAGCTGCGAAATGGTCAGTGCTATCCTGCATAGGACAATGGAGGCTGTTCTTGGGGGCGCAGAAAATGAGGACAACAAAGAAGTACGTCCTCTGCTTTGACTTCCCTTTGCAAAGCTCCTTCTTCTTCTCGCACCCTTGCAAGATTTAACCCAGCACTCAACCTCTCTTTTCCCGCAGGAACTGAAGAGGCATTTCCAGAGCCTGCTGGGGGGGTCTCCTTCTGGAGGCCCCCAGTGCTGGCACCCTCCTCCAGCTGCTCACTCCAAGTGTCTTGATGGCATCAGGGAAATTGGGACAATTGGGAAACACTGGCCTGCGAGCGCTCCTGTTGGAGAACAGCCTTTACCAAAGGTGTCATGGACTTTGAAGGAGCACAAACTCAAGGCGAAAAGGAGAAACGAGCTAAGAGGAAGGCATGTTTGGCAAATCCTCACCATGATCAACTCCAGCCCGGAAACCTACCGTATTTTTCGCTCTATAGGACGCACTTTTTCCCCTCCAAAAATTAAGGGGAAATGTTTGTGCGTCCTATGGAGCGAATGCAGGCTCCTTGGCTTCAGCGAAGGCAACACGAAGCCTCCAAAGCACAGAGGAAGCACTCCCTCCGCGCTCTGGAGGCTACGTGTTGCTTTCGCTGAAGCCTGGAGAGGGAGAGGGGTCGGTGTGCACCGACCCCTCTTGCTCTCCAGGCTTCAGGGATAGCCTGGACCTCGTGCTGCGCTCCAAAGGCTTCGGGTTCCTTTCGCTGAAGTCGGGGGAGCGAGACTTCGGGGTTAGCTGTGCAAAGCCTCCGAGGGCAGCGGGAGGCTTCAAAGGTTGTCCCCTAAGCCAGAACAGCGAGACGGTGAGCGCTCTCGCTGTTCTAGCTTGGGGATGGCTGCGCAAAGCCTCCGCAGGGCAGCAGGGTGAAGGCACCCCGCTGCCCTGTGCCGGCTTCACAGAAGCCAGAACAGCAAGACTGCTCCGTCTCGTTATTCTAGCTTCCGGGTTAGCTGCGCAAAGCCTCCCCAGGGCAGCAGGGTGCCTTCATCCTGCTGCCCTCCGGAGGGTTCGCGCAAAGCTAGACCAGCTATCCCAGCGGCTATCCCAGAAGCCAGAACACCAAGAGGCTATCCCAGAAGCCAGATTCCTCTTGCTGTTCTGGCTTCTGGGATTCAGAATTTTTTTTTCTTGTTTCCTCCCCCCCAAACTAGGTGCATTCTATCGTCTGGTGCGTCCTATAGAGCGAAAAATACGGTACGTCCCCGCCGTGGAAGGACGTGTGGATCCAGAACTGGTCTCCACAGTCACTTACGAACACACCGCTCAGACAGTGTTCATGGAAGGCAATCTTACTCGGCCACAAGCGATCGCCAAAGAAGAAAGAACAACAACATACTGCCCAGGCTTGAACCCTACAGAGGTCACTTCAGGGCTACTAACACAGCAAAAACGACACGGGAAGCAGCAGTTACAATTTACCGGTCCCTGCAGCCACAGCAGGTGCTGTGATTCTCCAGCAGTTCTCCACCCCCAGAGGCACACTCCATTGTCTCCAAAGATAGGTAAGATACCAACAAGAGGGAAAATAATGGGCCATTCCAATCACCAGAGTGCAGTCCTAAATGGCTCACCACACCTGGGTTGTTTTTTTAAATATATAGCATGTAGAATTTGAAACCCACCAGGCATTTTTAAACCACGGAGCTTCACCCCATAAACATGTCCCTCTTCTGGTTAAAAAATATGCAGCATAACAAACTGCTGCTTAAAGAAATGCAGATAAGAACCTAAGAGCCCTGCTGGACCCAACACTGCTTTATCACATTTATCTTTTCTGTGAACCGCCCTGAGACCTCTGGGTATAGGGTGGTATATAAATTCAATCAATCAATCAATCACCAAATGTCCATGGCAAGTCCACAAGCAGAACCCAAACATAACAAGGATGACAGAAGCACTTTCCATACCTGCAATTCAAGCATACTGCCTCCAGCCATGGAGGCAATCTAATGAGCCCTTGTATCTGAGGAACTAGTTGTATCTGAGGAACTAGTTGTATCTGAGGAACTAGTTGTATCTGAGGAACTAGTTGTATCTGAGGAACTAGTTGTACAGTCTTTTAAAAAGAAATCCTGAATTTTTAAAATAGTATGTCAGATGGCATTACAACCACGTTAAGGAACACCGCAATTTTATTTCATTGAAATCTTGAGCATTCTCCATCTGGCAACAGCTTCGACTGATTTTTCATGGGAGACACCTGAAGTTCCCACTGAAACTAATGGAAGGCGGAAAGCTCACCATCATGTTTAACTAAAAAACTTAAATATACTTGCACAAAATAAAAAGGTTTGAATAAACACATATTAGGTTGATAAGGCTTAAACTGTTAAAATTGACCAACTCGAGTTCGTATGGCTTGTGTAGTGGGGGAAAGCTTTTAAATAAAAATAAAAATGCCTTAACCTGCCACCTCGCCTCAAAACAAAGAACAGGAAACTAATGTTGCCCCAAGGTATAATATGCAAGATTTATAATACCATAAATCACACATTTTATACAGCTATGTATGATAGGTTGCAAGAACATTGAGCAGAAGAGTTCATTCTCATGATCTTTTCGTTTGTTTTCATGCTCCATCATCAGAGGTGGCTGCTCGGTATCTGTAGCAATAGAGCTTGTTGTCTGCACCACCACTCAACAGCATCTATAGAGCAGGGAAGAAAAATCTAGTTATAATGAGACAGTATTCAGAAACATTCATTTCGTTTCAGAGCACAATTCAAAGTGTTGGTGTTGACCTTTAAAGCCCTAAACGGCCTCGGTCCAGTATACCTGAAGGAGAGTCTCCACCTCCATCGTTCTGCCCGGACACTGAGGTCTAGCACCGAGGGCCTTCTGGCGGTTCCCTCGCTGCGAGAAGCCAAGTTACAGGGAACCAGGCAGAGGGTCTTCTCGGTAGTGGCACCTGCCCTGTGGAACGCCCTCCCACCAGATGTCAAGGAGAAAAATAACTACCAAACTTTTAGAAGACATCTGAAGGCAGCCCTGTTTAGGGAAGCTTTCAATGTTTAATAGGTTATTGCATTTTAGTGTTTTATTGGAAGCCGCCCAGAGTGGCTGGGGAAACCCAGCCAGATGGGCGGGGTATAAATAATAAATTATTGTTGTTGTTTCCCCCCATCTAGACCAAGTAAAAACGTATATACAGTGGTCCCTTGATTCCCGAATGGCTTAGTTGTCAAACAAATTGGCTCCCAAACACCGCAAACCCGGAAGTAAGTGTTCTGGTTTGCGAACGTTTTTTGGAAGCCAAACGTCTGACGCGGCTTCCGATGCTCCAAGGTGGAGCAGGAAGCTCCACCTTGGTTTTCGAACGGTTTAGGGAGTCGAACGGATTAGGTTCGAGAACCAAAGTACCACTGTACCAGGAAAAACAATTTTTCATCAAAACTTGCATAAGAAATACAAGGCATGGTATCACAGATTCCCAGATGCTTAATGCAAAGGAAGGAGTATATAGGGAAAAGTTAATTCATATTCTGGCTTATTAAGCAGACATATGATTAATACAGCCAATTGTGCCTTGGAACTTTTGCCTGCCTTAATGTTAGGAACAGAAACTTCCCAATGTCTTAAATCCACAATATAAAGAGAAGCAGCACAAAATGCTATAAGCAAAAAACAACTGGACATGTTGCATGATATCTAACATCAGGGTCCCGATCCGTTCTGCAGGCTTGGGGAAAAACCCAGAACAGCTTTCAGGGCACACAGGGAGAGGAAGTCCCATTGCACAGGCAGGTCTTTGCAGTAACAAGACTTTGTTGGGCATAACTCAAAGTTTCTGCAAAATCACATACATTCTTTCAAGTAGTTTTAAGATAAATCACTTTCACAAGTTGAACCTTTGCCGTTCTGAACTGCATAAGTAATGAATATTTATAAATCACTACACATATCCAACTACATAAACAACATTTGCTGCAAAAATACTTCGGTTTCCACCCAATTCCTGTTCCTGACGAAGTTCTTACCCCTGCTTCTGTCCATTCCACACACAAAACCTTGTCTTCATGAGCAGCCAAGTCATAGAGAGGTGCCTTGCAACTATAGGAAACAGAAAATAAGACAGCCATACTAGTTTTATTACATGGAAATAAAAGCATTCTGATGGCCAATTGCCAAAATTAGCCAGCAAATTCCTTCTACATAAACTTCCCCTCCTACTCTCATTCTTCTGTCAACCTTTCGGTAAGATCCAATTGCAGAAGACTCTTATTGTCATTCAATCAAGAACTTCTGCTGGCACAAGGTTGGGGGTGGAGGGAGGTGGTGGCGATTTTTGCAGATTTCCCATTCCTCCTGCAGCCCCCTAGAAATCGGGACTAAAGAATTTGGGGGACAACATGGGAGGTGGTGATGAACAGTGCAGGATGAATCAACAAAAATATCCTCCTTGCTTCCATCAGTGGGAGAAAAATTTCACTCCTGGGAAGCTTCTGTCAACAGGAGCAAAGCCTGGGTCCAAACTACTATTTCACCTTTGGAATTATGCACACTGCCTACATACGGTCTTTAACCATAAGCCAGTGCTGATTTTGACCTATAGAGCGCTATATTGCTCAGGACTCCAATACCTCAAGGACCATCTCTTCCCATATGAACTAGCTAAGACACTATGGTCTTCATTGAAGGCCCTTTTCTGTGTGCCCCACTCAAGGAAGATGAGGATGACCACATACGAACAGTCCTTTTCATTGGTGGCCTCCCATCCAATGAATGTTTTCGGAGGGCGATGTCCCTGGCATCATCCCTGTCAGTCTCTAGGTGCCGGGCTAAGACCTTTTTGTTTACGCAGGCCTTTGGCTACTTGATCTTGTTCCTCACAGTGATCCTCATCTTTCAATGGGGTGCGTAAGACTTGTCCTTATTAATAATGTGTTTCTGGATGAGCATTTTAATGTATTTTGCATTGTTCACTGTTTTAAATCTTTTTATTTTTCTGAACTGCTTTTATGGATTGCATTCTACCTTGCCAAGTCACTTTGAGACTTCATGTTGTATAAAGCAATTGGTAAATGCAATAAATTAAAAACCCCACGGTCCTGCTGTGCCATAATCCTTAGAAAAACAGAATTGCATCAGACACAATGCTTAGGGAGACATTTGCAGGTGCAGAACTAATATCGATGAGAATATTGCTAAAATCAGACTTAAGATCTAGTCAGAACCCTTCAAATCAAGATCAATTGACCTAAATATTCAAATATTCAATTGCCCTAAAATATTCAAATATTCAAAATATTCAATATCAATTACCCTAAATATTCTATAGTGACATTTCTTCAGTTTGTGTGTCATCCAGTAGCACAAATCCATATGGCAAAAGTCCAACAAAAACCCAGGGTTTAAAGTTTACCTTCTTGTGTCCCAAAGTTTGACAACGTTGTCTAAAGAACCAGAGATGAGCTGTTGCTCATGTGTCGGTGACCACTTCACTGATGTCACCCAGCCAGTATGTGAGGTAAGAGAAAGCAGTACCAAAGAACCATCTGAAAAGAGGCAGACAAGTCTCACTAGCCACAACTGATGAGTCACACAAAACACTCAAAATTTTTACAAGCATACAGCAGGGTGAAACCGAGTACGCAATTGATACAAAAATAGTAATAGCCAGCATTTTTAGTAAATGTGCTGAAATCAAACAGAAAGTAGGAGACAATGACCACTCCCTAGGCCACTACTGAGATGAAATGTTTCTTTACAAAGACCAAAACAAATGTTTGTTAAAAGTAGCACATTAGTGATATAATCAGTAAAAACAGGACATCTGCAAGCCAGATGAAGGAATTAGGAAGTTGCCATATACCAGGTCAGATTTTTTTATCCGTCTAGCCCAAATTTGTGTACCCAGACTGGCAGCTGCTCTCCAATGTCTGAGGCAAAAGAATAATAATAATTTATAATAATAATTTATTATTTATACCCCGTGTCAGGGAACTGCCATCGGAGCTAGAGGCGGAGGGAAGGCTCCCGAATGATGCTGGAGAGGGTCCCAGCAGGGAGAGAGGCAGCCCATCTGCTGGGGAAGGAAATCAGCGTAACACCAGTGGAGAAGGGGGGCAGATAGGGGAATCGGAGAGGAGGCTCCAGGACTCCTCGCTGGAGACCAGCGGGAGACTTGGCGTCAAACAGCTTTTATGCTGGAAGAGGTTCAAGAAACGCCCACTGACGGATTCTGCCAGCGACTGAGACAGCCATGATGCTGGAGGCTGTTCAGTCAGAAAGGGTTAACCAGGTAACCTAGCCAGGAGTGGCGGCAACTTACGCATGAGCAACCCCTAAACCCATTACACCCCGCCCATCTGGCTGAGTTTCCCAAGCCAATCTGGGCGGCTTCCAATCGAGTGTTATAAACAATACAGCATTAAATATTAAAAACTTCCCTGAACAGGGCTGCCTTCAGATGTCTTTTAAAGATAAGATAGCTACTTATTTCCTTCACATCTGAAGGGAGGGCATTCCACAGGGCAGGTGCCACTACCGAGAAGGCCCTCTGTCTGGTTCCCTGTAACCTCATATAACTTACAACCTGTTTCTTCCTAACTAGAGGGGCCAGGGACCGGACCAGAGACACTGTGTATGGTAAAACATGTCCTCTACCACTGAGTTATGATCCCTGCATATAGAGAGCTTTACAAACGCTGCCATAACCACTGCATAGAAGTGGAAGTTCATAGCAGCTCTTCCTGACTCTGGGTTACCAAAGTATGCCACCAGTCAATCAGGGTTGGGAAGCCTCACCAGAAAGTTTATTCGAAAGCAGGTATGTATAGCTCAATAAATGCTTGAAATAATAATAATTTTAAAAATGTAACTCGTGTGTGTGTGTGTGTACATGTGCACACACTATTTGCAAAAATTCTCTCAGGAATACAGTGGTACCTCGGGTTAAGTACTTAATTCGTTCCGGAGGTCCGTACTTAACCTAAAACTGTACTTAACCTGAAGCACCACTTTAGCTTATGGGGCCTCCTGCTGCTGCTGCGCCGCCAGAGCACGATTTCTGTTCTCATCCTGAAGCAAAGTTCTTAACCTGAGGTACTATTTCTGGGTTAGTGGAGTCTGTAACCTGAAGCGTATGTAACCCAAAGTACCACTGTACATCAATTATGTCAATTACAAGTTATTATCAGCGTTAGCAGAAAAATACATTGATATTAGCTACTGTATTTGTATTTGCAAACTGAGGTACCACTGTATACATTCTGTTCTACCCACCTTTAGTACGAGGGTCCCATAACCTAATGTGTCTGTCAGTGCTTCCAGAGGCTAAACGCCGACACAATGGCGAGTAGGATATAGAGTTGAACACTTTGTTTCCAGTCTATGTAAAAATAAGAGTAGAAAGAAGTAGGGTGGATTTAAAACACTAGTCAGTAAGACTTGATTTAAATCATTTCTTTTTACAGAAAGACTCATTCTTGCTGGCATAATCTTACTATTTACAACCAGATGAAAGTTTCATTTTTGGAATAATAAATTTGCAGAGTAGTTTTTACAGCTATATCAAAAATTGCTGATTTGCTTATACTATTAGAAATACATAGACAAATAGTTATGAAATTATTGTGAGGTTTAATGAATTACCTTCCCGCCAGTAAGCGGTCCCTATTTATCTACTTGCACCCAGGGGTGCTTTCGAACTGCTAGGTTGGCAGGCGCTGGGACCGAGCAGCGGGAGCGCACCCCACCGCGGGGATTCGAACCGCCGACCTTTCAATCGGCAAGCCCTAGGCGCTGAGGCTTTTACCCACAGCGCCACCCGCGTCGCTTACTGGCGGGAAGGTAAACGGCGTTTCCGTGTGCGGCGCTGGTGCTGGCTCGCCAGATGCAGCTTTGTCATGCTGGCCATGTGACCCGGAAGTGTCTCCGGACAGCGCTGGCCCCCGGCCTCTTGAGTGAGATGGGCGCACAACCCCAGAGTCTGTCAAGACTGGCCCGTACGGGCAGGGGTTCCTTTACCTTTTACCTTAATGAATTAACTGTTTATATTTGGACAACTTTTCTGCTATACTTTATTGGAAGGAGAAAAACAATCATTTCCTTAATAACAATTTAAACAATTTATTTAACAATAACATTATAGCATATATATCCATGTTTGTTAACTGATGTGGTTAAACTTTTTTTTTTTTTTTAAACTTAAACAGAGTTTTAGCACACATGAAAAACTTAAAACAAATCCTTATTTCCTGAGGAATAGCCTTTGGACTATAATGTAACTTAAATAGAAAGCTATCTTTAGAAATATTTTTCCTCCAAAAGAATTTTATTTTAAAAATCCGATTTAAATTTTAAAAATCTGATTTAAATTTTAAAAATCAGATTTTTTAAAAAAATAATAATCATTGATTTTTATTCACCCTGAGTAGAAGTAATTAATGAATTGCTCTTTAGACTTTGTACAAAACTCTTTGTTGAAGGCAGTTAAGCAATCTGAGAAATGGCGAACTTGGTTTGCAAGAGAACTCACCAAAGTGGATTTGAGGCCCCCTGTTTCAACATCCCACACCTTAATTGTGTGGTCCCATGAAGCACTGCATATTTCATCTGTATCTGACCAAAGTACAGAAGAGACCGATTCTGTATGACCAGAGAGGGTTGTAACAGGAGTCTAGACAGGAAAAATAAATATTGGGAGGATATGATTATTGAAATATTTCATTTTGTGAAACGAGCTTGTTCACTAATGCTGTTAAGTCTATACATATACAGTGGTACCTCGAGTTAAGAACAGAGGGCCTTCTCGGTAGTGGCACCCACCCTGTGGAACGCCCTCCCACCAGATGTCAAAGAGATAAACAACTATCTGATGTTTAGAAGACATCTGAAGGCAGTCCTGTTTAGGGAAGTTTTTAATGACTGATGTTTTAATGTGTTTTAAATCTTTTGTTGGAAGCCGCCCAGAGTGGCTGGGGAAACCCAGCCAGTTGGGCAGGGTATAAATAATGTATTATTATTATTATTATTATTATTATTATTATTATTATTATTATTATTATTATACCTCAGGTTAAGAACTTAATTTGTTCTGGAGGTCTGTTGTTAATCTGAAACTGTCCTTAACCTGAAGCACCACTTTAGCTAATGGGGCCTCCCGCTGCCGCTGCACAATTTCTGTTCTCATACTGAAGCAAAGTTCTTAACATGAGGTAATATTTCTGGGTTAGCGGAGCATGTAACCTGAAACGTATGTAACCTGAAGCGTATATAACCTGAAGCATATGTAACCCGCATGGGATTTTGCTATTTCCCTCCATTTCAACCCACGGGAATTGGCTCCAGGGCTTAGTAGACAGCTATCTAATGCGTCCTCTCTCCCTTGGCGATGGCAGCTGCCATCTTAGTCGCCCCCGCCCCCAAGCAATGCCTCTGTTGTTGCACTCTAGGCAAAAACAAGGCACACAACTTTGGCAATCAGCACATTTTTGTGTTCTTAGCTGTGGGACACAGCGAATGGCTTGCTGGAGGAGGCGACACTCTGTACATAAAAAAATAACAGTACAGTGGTACCTCGGGTTAAGTACTTAATTCGTTCCTGAGGTCCGTTCTTAACCTGAAACTGTTCTTAACCTGAGGTACCACTTTAGCTAATGGGGCCTCCTGCTGTCGCTGTGCCGCCAGAGCACAATTTCTGTTCTCATCCTGAAACAAAGTTCTTAACCCGAGGTACTATTTCTGGGTTAGCGGAGTCTGTAACCAGAAGCGTATGTAACCTGAAGCGTTTGTAACCCGAGGTACCACTGTGCAACAAGTTGGAAATGCCAAAATTGGTAGACCCCTCCACAGATTCTCTGTGGTTGGCAATGCTGAGCCTCAAGAGTAATTTAGCACTAGGAAAGCACCATCTCCCAGCTGACAAAAATGTCCAAGCTGATCTTGAGATGGAGAAGGAACTCAATGAGGCATCCAATAGGAGTAATTGTTGTAGTAATGGGTGATTTCAATTACCATCATATATACTGAATAAAAGGGACATGGGTGGAGCTGTGGGTCAAACCACAGAGCCCAGGGCTTGCCGATCAGAAGCTCGGCGGTTCGAATCCCCGCGATGGGGTTAGCTCCTGTTGCTCAGTCCCTACTCCTGCCAACCTAGCAGTTCGAAAGCACGTCAAAGTGCAAGTAGATAAATAGGTATCGCTCCGGTGGGAAGGTAAACGGCGTTTCCTAGCACTGCTCTGGTTCGCCAGAAGCGGCTTAGTCATGCTGCTCACATGACCCGGAAGCTGTACGCTGGCTCCCTCGGCCAGTAAAGCAAGATGAGCGCCGCAACCCCAGAGTTGGTCACAATTGGACCTAATGGTCAGGAGTCCCTTTACCTTTATACTGGATAAATGTGTGTTCCAGTCACAAAAGAGGCAACATTTCTAGATAGCCTCAATGACTGTGCCCTAGGACAGCCGACCACAGAACCAACCAGAGGATCAGTGACTCTGGACTTTTATTACGTGGTTGCCAGGACCTGGTATGTTGCGAGGACCTTCATTTACACTGAAGTCCAGCGCCGAGGGCCTTCTGGTGGTTCCCTCACTGCGAGAAGTGAGGTTACAGGGAACCAGGCAGAGGGCCTTCTCGATGGCAGTGCCCACCCTGTGGAACGCCCTACCATCTGATGTCAAGGAAATAAACAACTATCTGACTTTTAGAAGACCTCTGAAGGCAGCCCTGTTTAGGGAAGTTTTCAATGTTTGATCGTGTTTTAATACAGCCGTACCTTGGAAGTCAAACAGCCTAGTTCTTGAACGTTTTGACTCACGAATGATGGACATCTGGAAGTGACTGTTCCGGTTTTTTAACAAGCCGAATGTCCGAGGGGCTTCCCGCAGCCAATCAGAAGCCGTGCTTTGGTTTTTGAACCGACTTCCAGAAAGGATTCCGTTCGACTTCCAAGGTACGGCTGTATTCTGTTGGGAGCAGCCGAGAGTGGCTGGGGAAACCCAGCAAGATGGGTGGGGTATCAATAATAAAGTATTATGTTGTTGTCGTTGATGATGATGATCTCTCTCAAAACAGTGATCACGGTGCTATCAAATCCCACATATATATAAAAGGACAATTGCCAGACACATCTAACTTGGATAGTTCAAAAGGGGTTTAGACAAATTCATGGATGGCAATCAATGATTACCCGTCATGGCTGTGTACCAGCTTCAGTACTGAAGACTATATGCCTCTAAATACTGGGGAACACAAGCAGGAAGGAAGCTGCAGCACTCAAGTCCTGCTTGCAGTTTCCTGTGTGCATCTGATTGGCCAGGATGCTGGACTACATGGGCCTTTGATCTGACTCAGCAGGGCTTTTCTTAAGTCCAAGTGGAACTTACAGAGCACTGCATTTTGGGGAAACTAAGGCAAATGTCACAACTGCAGCCAGCAGGTCCCTGGAGCTATAGCTGGCTGGTAATGTTAGGCCCGAACCCCACATCCCCTCAAAGGAATTTCTACACAATCCAGGTTTGTCTTACTCTTGTTAGTCCCAACTGCTCAGTTTTCTGCTTTTTCCTTGGTCTGTTTGCCACCTCCTCCGTTTCCATTTCATCCTCTTCATCCGTAGGCACTGAAATAAAAAAATACAGTCATTTTAACCATACGACCACTCGCTGGTCAATCTCCTATTGCTATAAATTGGATTTTTGTAAAAAAAGAATACCGTATTTTTTGCTCTATAAGACTCACTTTTTCCCTCCTAAAAAGTAGGGGGAAATGTGTGTGCGTCTTATGGAGCGAATGCTGGCTGCGCAGCTATCCCAGAAGCCAGAACATCAAGAGGGATTGCTGCTTTCACTGCGCAGCGATCCCTCTTGCTGTTCTGGCTTCTGAGATTCAGAATATTTTTTTTCTTGTTTTCCTCCTCCAAAAACTAGGTGAGTCTTGTGGTCTGGTGCGTCTTATAGAGCGAAAAATACGGTAAATCTAATTATCAACAAATCTGTGATATGAAGAATCACTATTAGTTCTAATTTAAATGCTGGCCTGCAATTTGAACATTTCCCCCAAGAACACTGATCAATTGCCATATTAACTCAATTCCATGGAAGCAAGCATTTTAGTCATTGGGAGAAATCCAAGTATGAGCTAGATGTCGTCCAATGGAATTAACTTCCAAATAAAAGCTTTTGGAATTGTGGAGCCAGCTTGCTGTAGTCATACTAGGTGCTTAAGGTCAGGTGTGGGCAACCTTGGCTTTTTAGACATTGCTGAACTACACCGCTTTATCATCCCTGGCTACTGAACCTATTTGTTGGGAGCTGATGGGCACTGTAGTTCAGCGACATCTGGAGGGCCAAAGGTTTCCCACACCTGATTTAGTTTCCTGTGACATCTTAATTTTATTGTGGCAGAGGTTGTAGGGGCTTCTCTTAGGAACATGAAGTGTTTTGCCCGATTTTTTTTTTTTTTGCATAACATCAGTTCTCAGATTGAAGATCACAGTCGCAGCAGTCCTCTCCCAGTCCTGCAGCTGCTGTTAAAATACGGTTTAGTACATCCAGATTTGTGGTTTGTTTCCCTCCAAATAATCCACGAGTTGTAACTAAGGTTTACGAGTGATACGAACCACAAGTCTGGACTCACTCCGATGCAGCACTTAACCCAGCGTTTCTCAAACCTGAGTCTCCAGCTATTGTTGGTCTACAGCTCCCATCATCCCTAGCTAGCAGGACCATAATTAATATAATAAAAATAATAATTTATTATTTATACCCTTCCCATCTGGCTGGCCTTCCCCAGCCACTCTGGGCGGCTCCCAACAGAATATTAAAAACATGCTAAAACAGACATTAAAAACTTCCCTAAACAGGGCTGCCTTCAGATGTCTTCTGAAAGTGAGATAGTTGTTTATTTCCTTGACACTGGATGGGTGTTCCACAGGGCAGGTGCCACCACCGAAGAGGCCCTCTGCCTAGTTCCCTGTAACCTCACTTCTTGCAGGGAGGGAACCACCAGAAGGCCCTCGGAGCTGGACCTCAGTGTCTGGGCTGAATGATGGGAGTGGAGACGCTCCTTCAGGTATACTGGGCCGAGGCCGTTTAGGGCTTTAAAGGTCAGCACCAACACTTTGAATTGTGCTCAGAAACGTACTGGGAGGCAGGACCGGTGTTATATGGTATTGGCGGCCACTCCCAGTCATCAGCCTAGCTGCCGCATTTTGGCTTAGTTGTAGTGGTCAACAATGATGGAGTTGTAATCCTACAACAGCTGGGGACCCAAGTTTGAGAAACGCTGACTTAAACCAAACCATGGCTTAGCACTGGTTAACGTGGTGGCAGAAGGGCCAGCGAAGGAGCACTGCGGTTGTGATCGTCACTCTGAGCCTGCACATTTACTTGTTTGCAATAGCTACAAGTCTGGCAAACCAGGTCACCATGGCCTGTCCTTCAATAGCCACTATTTCCTCATGTGTAGCAGAAGTGGGGCCATGCTCCTAGCCCTGATCCCAATGTTGCATCCTATTTTCCATGCTTCTCTCTGCCTTCCTGTGTTGAACACAACATCTGACAAGGAAGCCCTTCATGTAAACAGCGGCTTATGCACATGGACTCCAAGCGAATAGGACATCCTCATAATCTGGCGAGATTGAGATGGAAACAGGCCCTGTTCCTACATGTGAGTTAAGCAAATCAATAGGACTTTGAGGTATGTTTTCATGGAGCTACGAGACAGGTGGCCTGTGCAGTTCACACATTAATTGAACCTAACCCCTATGGTGAAACGAAGTAGTCTCCAAACTCACAGGACTGATATACATACACACGTGAGAATTTACAATTCTGCAACACAGCACCACATTTTGAGCTTCTCGTGCAGTTAGCAAAAGTATTTGCACGCAGCTTCAAACTGCAATGTCTGGGGCAGCTTCAGTTTGCCAGAAAGGGTGGTTCAAGTTCATGAAAAGAAGGGTCTGCCCACATGTAAACCACTCAGAGGTTTCATTTACAAATAAGCAGTATACAAATCCTGTTAAATAAATCAATGTATCATAAGCATGCAGAGTTGTAGACAAAGGCGCTGGGAGTTATTAGATGAAAGGTCAAAGGAAGCACATAGTTAAACACTGATCTTACCTGCAGACCAGATCTTTAGCATCTTATCCCAGGATCCACTGCAAAACTAAACACACCACAAAACAGTTTTCAACAAAAATGGCACATTTTAGCTAGCTATCATTTGTGATGGGCAAGTTACCCAAAGCTTGATTTCAGAACAGGCTTAACTCAAGTGAGTCACTGTGTTTTTCCATGTATAAGACGCCCACATAAGACGCCCCTATTTTTGTTAACACAAAATTAAGAAATCGGGCCAGAGGCCAAGCCCGAACCTAAGTCTGGGTTACCCGTGCCACAGTCCAAGTTTGAACCACAACCTGGGCAACCAGCACCACAGCCTGAACCCGAGCCCAGGCCACCCATACCAGAGCCCGAACCCCAACCCCTGTGCATTCAACATCCGTGTGTAAGATGACCCCCAAATTTTGACTAAAATCTTTTAGCAAAAAACATCGTCTTATAGATGGAAAAATACGGTAAAATAGGCTTGATTTGACTCCAAACCAGATTCAAACAGGACCCGTGGAAGTTCCCATACCCTTTTGAATGAGCTTTTACGTTTTATTTTTAAAAATCTTGAGGCTGAAAGCACCTCCCTCAGCCTTCAGCTAAACAATTCCTCACCAAAATAATTCCCCATGGTTTTACTGGAGAATAGAAAATCAGGAAGTGGGGGAGGGAGGGAGGGAGGGAAAGGGATGGATGCCCCATGCCATAATTTCACATCTCTGAGTGTTTACAGAGGGTGGTGAACACAGCACATGATATCATGGGCTGTCCCCTAAGCCTGCTAGACGACATCGCAAGGGATCGATGCCTTACGAGAGCGAGAAAAATTATCAGGCACGATTCACACCCCGGCCAGCAGCTCTTTAATCTTCTACCCTCGGGCAGGAGATATAGAAGTATAATCAGTCGTACCAACAGGCTAAAAAACAGTTTCTACCCGTGGGCTGTTAGGCTACTGATCGGAAAATAATAATAGTGCAACTGAGTTTCGGGGTTGGTGTGTTGTGCGACAAGCACACAAAGTGCAATGAGATTGAGTGTTTGTGGCGGGGGGGGGGAGGCTCAGTTAATTTCATTGTACACAGGTTGTACATTGACATTAAAGGTATTATTATTACTATTATTAGTGCAAGGTTTCCAGTTATCAGAAGATGGAGAGCAGATGCTATAGTGTTGCCTTTTATGTGAAACAACATCAACTGTCTCAATTGCTTGGGTGACAGGGAGGGAGGAAAGGGCAGTCAATACAACTTACTTTCGTCCTTGAGCCATCCACAGCGACAGATTCTACGCTTCCTGCATGTCCTCTGCAGCAGTGAAGGGCCTTCACTTTGTTCTTTTCTACATTCCATTCCCACAGCAGGATAGTCTGGTCCATCGATGCACTAAGCAGCAGGCATGACAAACTATCTGAGGGATGCAGGCATAGCAGACAGGTTCACACAGCAGTCTTTCCCCAAACCAACCCTCTCCTAATTCTCCCAACCCGTTCAAATATGATGAAGAGTTTACAAAACGATTATAAACAGGCCGAGGATGGGATCAATTTGGAGCTGAGGCAATGCAGAAGGATATCACAGGGCTGCTAGGAATGTAGAAGTAAACAGAATATGACAGTCACTCATATACATTCCTAGTTTAATGGCCATGAATGCAGTCAGAGGCCTCGGTATAACATCAGGCAGGCCTGTTTAGGGATGTTTTTAACGCTTGAAGTTTTATTCTGTTTTTAATGTTCTGTTGAAAGCTGCCCAGAGTGGCTGGTGAAACCCAGTCAGATGGGCAGGGTAGAAATAAATTATTATTATTATTATTATTATTATTATTATTATTATTATTATTACCCAATGGAACTTTGATCCTGAGGCCTTTGTTTCAACACAAAACTGCCACGTAATGTGGCAACAATTGCACAGGAGGAATTGCAAAGAAGAGTGGAATTTGAGAGGTGGCTAGGTTATTCTGATGCAGCGAAAGCAAAAAAAGTATTTCGATAAATTTGTTAAGTCTTTAAGGTGTTACTTTCTGTGTTGGATTTCAGTTTGGAAATAACTTAACAATTCGGGGTTGTGAGCTTTCTGTGAAATTTATTGAAGCTGAAACCCCAAACAGAGTAAAATCTACTTACCTTTTTTGACCCAGGCCACATCTTTAACCACATCTACATGTCCAGCAAGCGTCATTATGGGTTTGCCTTCTACTGACCAAATCCGAGATGTCTGGTCATAGGAGCCTGTCAATATCCTATGGAATTTAGAAGCAAAAAAACCTGCTTGGTGGTTGTCTACACAGGATACATCTTTTACTTTATGGGCTTTAATCGAGCACTTGACACACTGTGCAATTTCAATTTTTTTGGAATATTATGCTAAGATATTATGTTTGTTAATGAAGAATCCTTTCCCAGCAAAGCTCTTGGGCTATAGATACTGCACACATTTAAAGCTGCAAATCTATAAGACAATGCCACCATCCATTCTCTGCGGGGACATCACACTAAACTGCTTACTATATTCACATATACTTACCTTCTGTGCGGTTTGAAAGTTCAAGTGGAGATTTTGAATGGGAAAAAATATGTTTATTTAAAAGACAGAGAGGAAAGGAGGAAAAGAATGGATAAACTGACGCTGTGCCTTCAACATGGTGAGCGAAATAAAACAAGACGAAAGAAAAATGGATACAAAAACTTTCGGAATACGCAGAAATGGCGAAACTTACCGGAAAAATAAGAAACCAAGGTAACAAACTTTTTATAAAAGAATGGAAATGGTTTATTGAATATTTACAAATAAACTCTAAACAGATAAGGACATTGGCAGGATCATTGTAATAACCTGCAGTTTTATAAGAGGATATATTTAAAGCCGATGAATAAATGAGTAAGTTAATTTGGAATATGCAGAAAATATATATATAAGAAATTTAAGGAACTGCAGAAAGAGGGGGTAGGAAGCCGAGTTTTGGAATGTTAAAATGATTGTAAAATCACTGAAATGTATAGAAGTGAAAAATCAGAAATAAAAAAAGAAATAATGCAAGGCGATATCCTACAGGCAGTAAGTCAGACAAAAGAGATTAGGAAAGAAGTAGCATGTCTCCCTTACCATTCTTCTGTAGCTTCAATAGAACTGATCCAATCATCATGGAGCATGCATTCTTCAGGTTGCGGAGCAGTGTATTTTTCAACATACTCTATTGCTACTACTTCTTCCTGCGCACACAAAACATGTCAAAGGAAAGGATCAGCCACGGAGGTTTCAGAGGAAAATTTCCTCTGCAGCAGAGAGGCTTCACAAGGACTGCGGCTGCTGCTTAGCACAGAGGGCTCCTCTTTCAAATTGCTTTTAATTTTTATCTGTGTTGCTTTAAATGAGACCACCTTGGCTCTGAGCCCTGGAAGACCTGCACCCTGCCTGGCTGGCCCTTTCCCATCTGGCCTGGGAGAGGGAGTGCGGACTGACTCCAGCTACAAAAGCTGAGGCTGTTGAACAGATTCGTGGACTGGAGTATTGTTTACGGGGTGCTGAGAGAGCTTGTTGCTGTTACTGATATAATTGTTGTATCTTTAGTTTTAAATCTTAAGATTTATGTGGAAATTGTTTCCATTAGGTTGTGTACTTTTTGATCTGTTTTATTTGTTGCTTATGACTTCTGTTACGTTTGTAATTATGTAAGTCTTTTCATGTTGTAAGCCGCCTTGAGCATAGTTTCAGCTATGGAAAGGCGGCATACAGCGGTACCTTGGGTTAAGTACTTAATTCGTTCCGGAGGTCCGTTCTTAGCCTGAAACTGTTCTTAACCTGAAGCACCACTTTAGCTAATGGGGCCTCCTGCTGCCAGAGCCCGATTTCTGTTCTTATCCTGAAGCAAAGTTCTTAACCTGAAGCACTATTTCTGGGTTAGCAGAGTGTGTAACCTGAAGCGTATGTAACCTGAAGCGTATGTAACCCGAGGTACCACTGTACAAATAAAATGATGATGATGATGACTACCTGCTGAAGATGAATGATACAAGCCAGCACCCACTCGCTGTTAGCTTTACTGAGCTACACTGGCAATCCTGAAAGGCTGCTATGTTCCAGGTGCAAACTGCCCAACAGGAGCACTAGGCAAGAATGTCGAAGGAAAGACCAGAGAGAAAACCGGTCTTCAGGACCTCACAGATGCACTTAGTCTACTATATACTTATTTAAGATTATAATTTGTATGTTGCTTAGGAAAAGCCATACATAGATACTGGAAAAAAACCATGGTGGTCTCTTATAAGAAATCCTTATTTTCTTCCAGTTCCCTCTGCCCCCCTGAAACCAAGGGGGCAAATTACCTGCACCAGATCCTGGCTAATTCAAGTAAGGGACTCAATTCTGGGTCCTCTCAGGAGAATGGAAGGGCTTTTTGGTCCAATACATTCAAGGCCATCTCTGCTGATAGAATGCTTTGTTCCAGGGCCTTACACTGGCTACTGCAAGCAGCAAACCCGTGTCTTATATGAACAACAGAGGCCTCTGTAGCAGACGTGGGCTCCCAACTGCAGACACACTTTTAACCAATCCTAAACCCCCTCTAGCTAGCAGCTCTGGAGGCTAGAATTGCTCGGTCATACATTTGCAAGCTAGACAGCCCGACACAATAAATGGGAGTTTTGCACAAATTTAAGTGGATGATTCTCTATTTCTTACTCTCATTATCCAGAGCCTATACTTTATAAACACACACACACACACACACACACACACACACACACACACGACTTACAGTTGAGATATTTTCCACTTCCATGTGCCTCACCAGGGACATGCGCAAGAACTGTCCGTTGATAAGGAAATCAAATTCCACATATTTGTGGCCTTCTAGAGACAAAGAAAACACAAAGTGTCAGGTTGCATAGCTTATATGATACTCAGAAGATGGTTTGATGATGAATGTTTCCAGCTAAAAAGAAAGCTGCGCCAAACATTTAAAAATAATCGCGCTAAACTAGAGCCCTCTTATCTTGATGAAAAAAGACAATACCATTACATTCTGGCCGAAAAGAAACAGAAATATGCAACCCAAAAATGGCTACAATTACTCGACTCAATTCAGAGTAAAAACAACAAAGCGTTCTGGAACCTAGTGTACGGAGGATTGAAAGCCGAAAACCAACTAACTCTACCACCAATTGCAGAATCCAAATGGTCCCAATACTTCACATCTGTATTTAACAATCTACACAGTGAACTCAAAGGAAATGAGACCACTAAAAATAAAATCAATAAACTCCAGGAGTGGCCAAGGGTAGAAGAAGAGGAAATTAGAGAGATAGTTAAAAATTTCAAATCGGGGAAATCTCCTGGGCCAGACGGTCTACCAATAGAATTATTCAAGACCTATATAGATTGGTGGGCAGAACCCTTAGCTCAATTGTTTACTCTCATAGATAAATATGGGATCATACCTGAGATATGGTTAAGATCAATAATTATCCCAATCTTTAAAAATGGCGACCCAAAAGAACCAAGGAATTACAGACCGATAAGCCTATTATCAGTGATAGGGAAAATCTACGCTAAGCACCTTTTATCTAAACTCCTTACCTGGATGAAAAATCTAAATTTACCAGGGAAAGAACAAATAGGTTTCTCCAAAGGTTGCTCTACATTAGACCACTGCCTTATACTTATGCATTTGGTTGAAAAATATAGATCCCAAAGGCAATCTAGGATATATGCTGCTTTTGTAGACTTTCGTGGTGCATTCGACTCAATTGACCGCCCAAAGCTGTGGAGGAAACTCGCAGAATTAAAAATTGATCAGCGCTTATTGATTCTAATACAAAATCTATACTCTTCCAATACCTGTCAAGTCAAACTTAACACCAAAGGTCACCTCTCATCAGACATCCCAAACTCGAAAGGGGTAAAACAAGGGTGTATTCTCGCTCCCTTTCTATTTAATTTATTTTTATCAGACTTGCCAGATCACCTCCAAAAAATAGAATCACATGCCCCTAAACTTAATCAGAAACCAGTTCCTCTCTTATTATACGCAGACGATGCTGTCCTACTATCATTAACGAGCTTGGGTCTGAAACGTCTTATATCTTCTCTGATCCTTTACTGCGAATGTAACAAACTCTCTATAAATTATGAGAAGACAAAAATTTTGGTCTTCTCGAATGGTTGGAAATTAGAGAAATGGAAAATAAGAGGGCAAGAAATCCAACAAGTGAAAATCTATAGGTATCTGGAATCTTATTCCAGAGCAATTTAGGGTGGGCAAATCATCGCACAAATGCCATAAAACAGGCAAAGTGTACCTCATCAGCAGTTGCCCGTTTTTATTATCAGAAAGGTAATCAATTTATTCCTGCGGCCAATCAGATATTTCAAACAAAAGTGCAATCCCAGATATTCTATGGAATCCCGCTATGGGTCCAAGCATATAACAGTGATTTAAAAAAGATTCACTCCAGCTTTCTGAGACGTATTCTTGGACTCCCAGCTGTGATCAAATATGAAACAATGTGTGCAGAAATAGGCATACACACAATGGAATATTGGGCATGGTCCACCTCAATAAAGTACTGGTTACGCTGCCATTTTCGCTGCCCTCCATCAAGTCTGCTCGCTGATTTGCTCAAAGACTCCTATAAATCAAGATGGTATCAGTACCTCGAAAAAAAGATTGAATCTTTAGGCATCGAGCTGGAGCCCCTGTACAATTCTAATGAGCAATACATTTTCCATAATATCCTAACTAGACTAAAAGGATGTCGAGAGACAAAATATTATGGCAGCTGTAAACAAAATTTGCTCCCCCATATTCTATGATTTAAATATCTTAGATAGCAGAGCCAATTACGTCACTAAATTAATAATCCAGCCCAACGTAGGGCTTTATGCTGGCCCGTTTGAATGTTTTTCCCTCAGCATTTGTCAGGGGGAAGATATCAAAACATTTCCTAGAAACAAGAGATTCTGCAGATGTTCTATGAATGTCCCGGACACTGTAGAGCATATTCTCTTTCATTGCCCATTGTACAGTATCCCACGTCAACGCGTGCTGTCCCCTCTTTTGGGTGGTCTGGAACCCCAGCAAGGTGAATGTGTGGGATTCTGCCTATCCGACGTCGACCAAAGGGTAACGGCGGGGGTAGCCGAGTTTTTGGTAGCAGTCCTCCAAGGAGCAGGTTAACAAGGAAAACCACTGATTTTATATGTATATATATATATATGTACGTAGCCAACTGCTGCCTTTTATATATATTTCAAGGCTTTTATATGTTATTTCCTCTTTTATGGTTTTATTTGCACAATGCCTAATAAAGGTTTGATAAGTATATGATACTCAGAAGATGCAGTTTGCACTGTACATTTGAGAAGGCTTGGTGAATATGTCTAAAATGTAGCCTTCAGTTATTCCTGTACAATACACACTTATATTACCAATTATCACAGGCAACCAAAACTTTATCCAGGGGAGAACAAAAATTTGTTAGCAGATAAGATTTAGCTCTCCAAACCAGAAGTTATATCACTGATACACATTACATATTCAGCAAGTTGTATGTTACAGCATCTTGGTTCCAAGTGTAATATTCTTTGAACCCCTAGACATAACAAACTTTCTGGCCAAGAAATCACGAGGAAACAAAAATAATCATAGAAATTATCAGAGATTGTGCAGAGATTTTGTCTATTTGAACACCTACCCAAGGAAGGCAAGGGGCCAACTTTCTGGATAAGAAACTTACTGTGTGAAATGGCCCTGTGACCAAAGCAGGAATACAAACTGGTACCACAGTGAGAGTCAGTATAATGAAGTAGGCAGTACTAATTTGATGTGTGGGACCCAGGTTCAGATTGCTCCTTGTAAAGATCACTGGAGACCCGTGGCTAAGTCACTGTCTCCCAACCTAGCCCATACGACAAAAAAACTGCTCCAGGATAACAGTGTTCTGACACTTTGAGATGAAGCATGAACTACAAATGTGATAATAAATAATACATACATAATCTACAAATTGTCTTGTGCCCCAAATTGTGTATCTCCACTCTAGTTTGCTTTGCTAAATAAGATATGCTTTGGGAGGAAGGGTTGAAAATAAATGTAAAAAATTAATGTGAGTTTATACGGAATTTGCTGAGGTGATATCTATAGCATCAGGTGTTTAATAGCAAAAATTAATTTAAGTCTGTAAAACTGTAAACTGTGATTAGTTGTATGTGTGGTAACCACCTCTACAGACTCCTAAAATTAACTCTTGACTAATAGCAAGGGGGGCAAACTTTTAAAACCACTTCCCTCAAACATAAACGTACCATTTTTTGCTTCCAGCAATTTGTTGATAACATTACTGAGATCAGCAACTTCAGAAGCAGCTGGGACAGAGAAAGGAACATCATCTACTGCGTATCTGTGGAGAGAAACAGTTGCACACAGTATTCAAGAAAAGGGTAAAATCAATCTTAAACTTCCACCATCGTCTTCATGGGAAATATTTTACCTTTTAAGAGCAGACTCATGTACTATACTATACCATCGTATAGGTATGGTAAAAGGACCCCTGGACGGTTAAGTCCAGTCAAAGGCAACTATGGGCCCTGCCACCCATATCAAATCCCAGTAACATCTACCCCCAACCTGAATGACAAACCAAACCCAAGAGAATTGTTTTGGAATCAAAACAAACAAACAAACAAACCATCTGTGGCACTTTAAAGGCACTTGGCACAAGATTTCCTGAACTTTTGCATATGCTTTGCATATAATTGCTAATTACAGGTAGCAAGCTAACTAGTCTATAACTAGCTGGATTGGAGGTAAGGCCCTTTTTGAATATAGGGATGACTACCGCTGTGCCCCAAACTTTGGGAAATAACCCAGATGAATCAATAAATGAGAATATTACCACCACCAGGGAGGCCCATCAGTCAATGTTAGATTCTGGGGGGCAAATAATCTACGCCTGGTGCTTTATTGCTTCTTAACTTCAGTTATAGATTACTGGAAGACAATCTGGTAAGTTTCCAAAAGGTTCTGTTATTTGGTTGACCCCATCACCCTGCCCCTGATAAGAATGAATGATAATATTGCATACACGTACATATACATCATATGAATGAATGGCTAAGGCCAAAAGACCATAAAGTGCAAGGAGGCATAGCCAAAATGGACTTTGGCTTAAGAGCAGCGCTTCAGCCACAGTTGCCATTGCAGCGATGACCCAGTTATGCCCTTCCAGACCCCGGCGATGTACTTACTTCGTGTCCTCAGTGAAGAAGCGAGCCTGAAAGCTGCGCCATTTCAAAGGCTGGGATA